GAAATTTTTGTTTTCAGTAAATTTGCAGAAATCAATATCCCCAAAATGGACGTTCTTCTTTGTAAATTAGAATTGATACATTTCTTTAAGAAGAAAATCAGAACAATAAAATGGTAAGAATATAATTGAGCCAAACCGTTGACTACCCCCATTGCACCAGATATATCAATATCTATCAATATAAGTACTTCACAATCAATAAAACTTAAAGAGGGTCTGGACAGGGTTAACAGAATACAGAATAATGGACCCAAAAAATAAAGGATAGAGAAAATGGGCCAAAATATACAAAAAATAGAAAAACAAAATGAGACCTACAATAAAAAGAACAGAGAACAATGAGAAAAAAAATTAAAGAAGCAGTAAATTGCTTAAAAAATTGAAGAAAACAGAAAATGACTAAAAGAATTATAGAATACAAATTGAAAAAAATTTTCCCACCTAGAGCCTCATTGACTACAGAAATAATAAATAAATACATTGTAACTGGCCTTATGTCATTTTATAGTCAATGTTAAATGTTAACGGCAACAGTAGAGAAATCCATTTATAAAATGTCAAAATTAAAAAAAAGTATAAATGTGAATAACAGAGGTTGTAGCATAATGTATTAACACAACAACACAAGGTAATCAAAACAATTAAAGTACTTATAAGAATTAAGAAATTATATAAACAAATCGATTCTACACAAAAGAAATCCTCCAATTTAGGCATTCATATACCTGTAGTGCTGCCAAAAGACTATAAATAAATAAAAAGCTTTGTTCTACGCATACATAATAGATTTGGAACTTTTTCAATCCAGTGAATAGAAAGTGATGAACAAAAGAAGACAAGTTATCTCCCCTTATTGTGCACAGTGCATTCTATAGTTGTTTTCCATAAATGTGAAAATAATTAAACAATTAATTATCATAAATCTGTTATTCAACAACCCTGCATTATATTTGCATTGCACAAATGGTTATCAACCATAATTCTCACTCATTAATTTTCTTGAAAGAAATAAGAGAGTAAAAAAAAACAAAGTTTAAATAACAGTACTTAAACCTAACATTATAACTATTGCTTATGAAAATTGCAAACTTTTTGATGTACAGCTTTCAACTGAACATTCTTCTTACTATCGTAAAACTGACACATGATAGATAAATTTCAAATGTCTTTAAAATGTTTTGACAGATGTCTTAAATTAAAGCACTTTATAAACACAGATCACAATGTAAAAAACACACATGCATCACATACAATATAGAAAGTGTCCACATGACATAATTTGAGTTGGAATTATTTCCCTTGGCCTCCAAGTTGGAGGTGAAACTGGACAATTTTCTTATTTGACTAAACAAATGAAACCATTAGGTACAATCTGATAAGAGATCCTTTCTTGATTGTAGTGATGAATTAAGACTTAAACTTCTTCATAAAAATCTTTTTCTAAAGTCTAGTGGTCAGTATAAAAAGTTAAATTTAGTTGATTTATCAAGGAATTTGTGCAAAGAAAAATGACTACTGTGAATTCAGAAATTATTGCAATGTTTTTATTAATGTGATAAATGCGACTGGGTGAGTCTCGCAATAATAAGAACTTGCATTCTGATATCTGATACATATATCTGTAAGCAGATTTTCCAGAAATCACAATAATTAAACTCGATTTTTTTCCATTCTTCAACCATCGCAATAATAAATGGACGCAATAATTTCTGAATTTACAGTAACTCAAATTTTCTTTCAAAAACTATCTATTCCATGAAATGAAATGGCTAAATTAATAATAAGAGTTTTTATTTTTTTCTTTGAATTATGATGACTTTTTTCTGAAAAATAAAGGATGAAATCTGTGTCTATCATGTTGATACAAAATTAATACTAAATAAATACAAGGTACAACAAAATCTAAACTTCAATTTGCAACATAAGACTGTTTCACTACCATATCACAATATATGTTGCAATAGTAACTAGGATGATACTAAATGTTGTCATAGTAACTAAATTTGATGATTTCATTAAACAATCTGTAATTTATACTGTTGTGGTAAACAGGCAGTGAAATGTGTTGTCATGGTAACTAGAAATAAATCTCACTAGACCACATCTGGCCTTTAGTTGTCATGGTAAGTGGACATCAATCCCTTCAGACCATATCTGACCCCATGTTGTCATGGTAAGTTGTAATAGTGTCAGGATGATATGGGGGTCGTTGTACATATTTATGACCTGGTACACTTATTAAAGATGTTGGCTGAAAAATACATCATGTAAAAATATTTTACTATATTTATAGAGCAGTTGATCAATCTTTTTATTGTTGCAATTTATCATATCTAAGTATCTGTATATTTCCTTTCTTTCTTCATTCGTTTATTTTGTCTTTTTTCTGTTTGTAATTACTGTACCCATGGTTACCATTAAATCATACTCTAGATAAATAGTATCAACCCTTCCATAACAACATGTCTCAGGCTTCCATAAGTTTGCATAAAGCAGGAGGATTATTCAAGGCACTTTTTTAAAATTTTGATTGGAGGTTGATGTTTTTGCAGATTTGACTAATTGATTATAAATTTTATACACATAATAGTGTAAATATAAAGTGGCTCTTATTAGGGTAAATATAAAGTGGCTCTTATTAGGGTAAATATAAAGTGGCTCTTAACAAACTTATTTTTATATTTATAATAGAATGAACATAATTAGACACTTAAAAATGTCTGACATGCTTGAACATTTGTTTTATTTTGAAGGTCTATGAACTTAAAAAATGAGACCAAGGGCAAAGTAGGGTTCTCACAAAGGATTCTCATATTTTTTTACCATGGCCAGTCAAACAGCAGGAGGAAAATGAAAAGCAATGACGTAATTCATTAAGTCTTCTGACAAAACAAGGAAGTAAAATGAACAAATGATAGAACTTTTTTGGCATCTATTGTTGATGGTAGTTGGTGTGGTCTGTTGTAGTCCAATATTTCTATTAGTTCCTGTTATCTTTTTATAAGTACCTGTTATCTTTTTTATCTTTTTATAAGTACCTGTTATCTTTTTTATATTTCTATTAGTTCCTGTTATCTTTTTTATACTTCTCTTAGTTCCTGTTATCTTTTTTATATTTCTATTAGTTCCTGTTATCTTTTTTATACTTCTCTTAGTTCCTGTTATCTTTTTTATATTTCTATTAGTTCCTGTTATCTTTTTTATATTTCTATTAGTTCCTGTTATCTTGTTATAAGTACCTGTTATCTTTTTTATGTTTCTATTAGTTCCTGTTATCTTTTTTATGTTTCTATTAGTTCCTGTTATCTTTTTTTATACTTCTATTAGTTCCTGTTATCTTGTTATAAGTACCTGTTATCTTTTTTATGTTTCTATTAGTTCCTGTTATCTTTTTTATGTTTCTATTAGTTCCTGTTATCTTTTTTTATACTTCTATTAGTTCCTGTTATCTTGTTATAAGTACCTGTTATCTTTTTTATGTTTCTATTAGTTCCTGTTATCTTTTTTATACTTCTATTAGTTCCTGTTATCTTGTTATAAGTACCTGTTATCTTTTTTATGTTTCTCTTAGTTCCTGTTATCTTTTTTATATTTCTATTAGTTCCTGTTATCTTTTTTATACTTCTCTTAGTTCCTGTTATCTTTTTTATATTTCTATTAGTTCCTGTTATCTTGTTATAAGTACCTGTTATCTTTTTTATGTTTCTATTAGTTCCTGTTATCTTTTTTATGTTTTTATTAGTTCCTGTTATCTTTTTTTATACTTCTATTAGTTCCTGTTATCTTGTTATAAGTACCTGTTATCTTTTTTATGTTTCTATTAGTTCCTGTTATCTTTTTTATATTTCTATTAGTTCCTGTTATCTTTTTTATATTTCTATAAGTACCTGTTATCTTTTTTTATATTTCTATTAGTTCCTGTTATCTTTTTTATGTTTCTATTAGTTCCTGTTATCTTTTTTTATACTTCTATTAGTTCCTGTTATCTTGTTATAAGTACCTGATATCTTTTTTATGTTTCTATTAGTACCTGTTATCTTTTTTATGTTTCTATTAGTTTCTGTTATCTTTTTTATATTTCTATTAGTTCCTGTTATCTTGTTATAAGTACCTGTTATCTTTTTTATGTTTCTATTAGTTCCTGTTATCTTTTTTATATTTCTATTAGTTCCTGTTATCTTTTGTATATTTCTATTAGTTCCTGTTATCTTTTTTATTTTTCTATTAGTTCCTGTTATTCTTTTATATTTCTATTAGTTCCTGTTATCTTTTTTATACTTCTATTAGTTCCTGTTTTCTTTTTTATATTTCTATTAGTTCCTGTTATCTTTTTTATATTTCTATTAGTTCCTGTTATTCTTTTATATTTCTATTAGTTCCTGTTATTTTTTTTGTTTCTATTAGTTCCTGTTATCTTTTTTATACTTCTATTAGTTCCTGTTATCTTTTTTATACTTCTATTAGGTCTTGTTATCTTTTTCATGTTTCTATTAGTTCCTGTTGTCTTTTTTATGTTTCTATTAGTTCCTGTTATTTTTTTATATTTCTATTAGTTCCTGTTATCTTTTTTATACTTCTATTAGTTCCTGTTATTCTTTTATATTTCTATTAGTTCCTGTTATTTTTTTTGTTTCTATTAGTTCCTGTTATCTTTTTTATACTTCTATTAGGTCTTGTTATCTTTTTTATGTTTCTATTAGGTCCTGTTATTTTTTTTATATTTCTATTAGTTCCTGTTATCTTTCTTATATTTCTATTAGTTCTTGTTATCTTTTTTATATTTCTATTAGGTCCTGTTATCTTTTTTATACTTCTATTAGTTCCTGTTATCTTTTGTATATTTCTATTAGTTCCTGTTGTCTTTTTTATGTTTCTATTAGTTCCTGTTATTTTTTTTTGTTTCTATTAGTTCCTGTTATCTTTCTTATATTTCTATTAGTTCCTGTTATCTTTCTTATAATTCTATTAGTTCTTGTTATCTTTTTTATATTTCTATTAGTTCCTGTTATCTTTATTTATGCATTTTAGCATTGTGAAATATCTTTTCTGCTCTCATTTTGATAAGATGTTGAATATTTTTTGTTTCTAGCATATTTAAAATATACAAATAATTACCAAGGGTTCAATTTCTGGTTCTTGGTCGTAAGGTTTACTATTGTTGATATGCTCCTCCTCATTAAAACCTTCCTCATCACTATTCAGCAGATTCATCATAGAGGGCGCCAGTTTCTCTTTCTGTCTGATTTTCTGGGTCAAGGTTAAATAATATTATCTTACTTACGAAAATAAGTTTAAATGGTTTTTACCTTTACAAGTATTTCAATGCAAATGAACTTAACTGAATATTTGTAATTTTTTCTATTTTTCCTTCAAACTAATTACTTTATTTTGATCGCCAGGTTTCTTCATCATATTTATTTATTGGATATATATAGAATACTGTAAATTCATAAATTTTTGCAATGCTTTTATTAATGCGAAGGGATAGGTCTTGGTATTAAAAATCAAAGTGCTTGTAAGCACTGACGGGTAAAGATTGCTTTAATCTATCAGTGGGAAGTCAAATTAAACATTGCATTGTATAAAGCATTGGTTAAAGGAAGATAACTCCAATTTTAAAGATTACTTTAATAATGACATCATTGATATTTTTAGAACAGATATTAGATTCCTACACCTTGCACAAGTTATGTAATTTTCTTGACAAGTATAACATCATTTTGTAACTTGAATACCTGAGCGTATATTTCATTGATAAATTTCTGGAAATGTTCAAGGATAGGATGTTGGAAATTTATAATCAATGCACTTTATTTTGTGTATCTCAAAAGAAGTGATTAACCTTGGAAGATTTAGATATCAAGTCAAATCTTTACCCAATACAAACCGTCATTTAGAATTTTGATAGGATTATTTGTATGCAGCATTTCCTGTAATTGCGATAATTTATCTCAATAATTTATTTCAATAATTTAACTCACTAATTGCAATAATTTATCTCACTAATTGCAATAATTTATCTCAATAATTTATCTCACTAATTGCAATAATTTATCTCACTAATTGCAATAATTGCAATAATTTATCTCACATTTTTTGTTTATTATTCAACAATCCCAATAATAAAAGCAGGCAAAAAATGATCTGACAGGACATGCTGATAGAATGTCTGCATATATTATGGTCATGTGTTTTCTTACAAGTTGTTATCATGTGAGCTAGTACCAGTCTTCACGCTTAGCCACAGGCCCAGCAGCCCAGGCATGTAAAATTGCCTTCAGGCCTGTAAAAATCAGCTTTACAAGTTAATAGAATCTAACTAAAAATTTCCAAAATTTGAGCTCCGGGCCTGTCGATTTAAAGGTTTGTCGTGAAGACTGCTAGTACATTAAAAATGTGGATCATCCTGCTGGTCTAATTAGCAGCAACATTAATAAATATATAATATATGCATTTCTCTTAATCGGTATGGATTTTAATTGTTTTCGACCAGTTTATAAAATTTTTATATACACTTTTAAATATTTTTCTTGTGTACTTTCCCACCATTCTGCACTTTGCATCAAATCATTATAGAAAAAGATTTTACCACTTTACACCATTGTCTACACAATATTTATCCACTCACTATAGCTAAATTATCAAATTAAAATACTCAGGAAATATCAAAATTTAAAGTTTGAAAATTTAACTATCTCAAGTGAATAAATATTATAATTAACAGGGTGGCATAGAAGAAATTATATTTACAATATTATACAATACATATTCTCATCCTAAATATGAATATTGTTGAAAGATTATATGATCAAAAATGATAATAAAATGCTCCGCAGGGCGCAGCTTGATACGACCGCAGATGTCGAACCCTGAACAGTTGGGGCAAGTATGGACACAACATTCAAGCTTGATACAGCTTTGCATTTGGATTGTGATTGAATATTTGACACAGCATAGGTTTCTGACACAGAATGAATGTGGTCTAAGAACTTAAAAATTTTAAATTGGACATTCACCTATTATGGTCCAATATCCAAAATCTAAATACATGGTTAGATTCAGCATATCAAAGAACCCCAAGAATTCAATTTTTGATGAAATCAAACAAAGTTTAATTTTGGACCCTTTTGACCTCAATGTGGACAAAGTTGATAACGGGGCCCAAAAATCAAAAATCTAAATACATGGTTAGATTCAGCATATCAAAGAACCCCATATATTCAATTTTTGTTGAAATCAAAGTTTAATTTTGGACCTCGATTTGGACCAACTTGAAAACTGGGCCCATAATCAAAAATCTAAATACATGTTTAGATTCAGCATATCAAAGAACCCTAAGAATTCAATTTTTGTTAAAATCAAACTAAGTTTAATTTTGGACCCTTTGGACCTTAATGTAGACCAATTTGAAAACGGAACCAAAAATTAAGAATCTAAATACACGGTTAGATTTGGCATATCAAAGAACCCCATTAATTCAATTTTTGATGAAATCAAACAAAGTTTAATTTTGGACCCTATGGACCTCAATGTGGACCAATTAAAAAACGGGGCCCAAAATCCAAAAACTAAATACACGGTTAGATTCAGCATATTAAAGAACCCCAAGAATTCAAGAATAAAACCCCATTGAAATTGGTCAAGAAATAAGCAATTTATACGAAATATCTTCTTTTGCACAATACTGTGTAATTAAATATTTCTTGCTATTGCGCAATACTGTACAATTGACAATTTCTTGCTATTGCGCAATATTGTGCTATTGGATATTTCTTGCTATTGCGCAATACTGTGCAATTGAAGATTTCTTGCTATTGCGCAATACTGTGCAATTGAAGATTTCTTGCTATTGTGCAATACTGTGCAATTGAAAATTTCTTGCTATTGCACAATACTTATTATATAATAATTTACACATCCTGTTTGGTGTGTATCTCCTACCATATCATTATTATTTGCTTTTAAATATAAATCAGAAATAACCAACTTAAAATGGAAAATTTTAAAAGAAAAAAAAAAAAAATCCCCCCCCCTCGAAATTTTTTGAACCCCCTTATGATTCATCACCCCCAAACTCAATCCCAGCCTTCCCTTTGTGGTATGGTACCTTGCAGTACAATTTCAGAGAGATCCATACACTTGAACACAAGTTATTGTCTGGAAACTAGAAAAATGCTTGTTTTTTTGCCCCTTTTTGGCCCCAAATTCCTAAACGTTTAGGGCAATTACCCCCAAACTCAAACCCAGCTTTCCCTTTGTGATATGGAACCTTGTAGTACAATTTCAGAAAGATCCATACACTTACACATAAGTTATTGTCATGAAACTAGAAAAATGCTTGTTTTTTGCCCCTTTTTTGGCCCCTAATTCCTAAAATTTTGAGGCAATTACCCCCAAAATCAATCCCAGCATTCCTTTTGTGATAAGGAACCTTGTGGTACAATGTCAGAGAGATCCATACACTAACACACAAGTTATGTCTGGAAGTTACAAAAATGCTTATTTTTGGCCCCTTTTTGGCCCCTAATTCCTTTACTGTTGGTACCATAACCCCCAAAATCAATCCCAACCTTCCTTTTGTGGTATTGAACCTTTTGGTAAAATTTCATAGAGATCCATTCACTTAAACTAAAGTTAGAGTGCGAAAACCAATGTGTCTTCGGACGACGCCAGACGACGCCGGACGACGACGACGACGACGACAACGACGACGACGCCAACGTCATACCAATATACGACCACAAAAAATTTTTTGCGGTCGTATAAAAATTGTCCATTCATAAATATAAATGCCTGTCAAATGTTGTGTATATAACATAAATATATCATAGATTTACTAAGGATACATTTGTTTAAGTGTTCTTTTGTTTGTCTTTTTTCTTGAGAAAAATTTTCTTGCCAACGCCATAAACTGTTTTCTTGATGCTACAACACAAATTATATTTTATTACATTCAGTAAATTTATTGCTTTTAGTTTAAAAACCATTATCATAAAAAGCAAACCACAAATAAAGTGAAAGGCCGTACGGTTTTATAGTTTGTTCTTATGTTGTACTGCTACACCACTGTCCAAGGTTAGGGGAGGGTTGGGATCCCGCTAACATGTTTAACCCGGCCACATTCTGTATGTATGTGCCTGTCCCAAGTCAGGAGCCTGTAATTCAGTGGTTGTCGTTTGTTTTTGTGTTACATATTTGTTTTTCGTTCACTTTTTGTACATAAATTAGGCCATTAGTTTTCTCGTTTGAATTGTTTTACATTGTCATTTCGGGGACTTTTATAGCTGACTGTGCGGTATGGGCTTTGCTCATTGTTGAAGGCCGTACGGTGACCTATAGTTGTTAATTTCTGTGTCATTTGGTCTCTTGTGGAGAGTTGTCTCATTGGCAATCATACCACATCTTCTTTTTTATATTATATAAACGGTATGTATATGTTTTTATCCCTCATGTCTGCTTACTCTACTAAAAGGTAAATTATATAACCTAAAATTGTTCACATCCTCGTCCTGATGTGAAAAGTGGACCATTTATCAATCATAATACATCTCCTTATTTTCATATAAAAAATGAATATGAACCATGTATTTCAATTTTGAGATGGTATATATAACTTGCAATTGTAAGAAACATAGCATTTAATTTTTTTGTGTTGAAGAAATCTATGCTTGCTCTATGTAATTTTTTTTTCAAGACTATTCCATTAAAATGAACAATGGTGTGTAAGAAAGTTTTTATTAAATTCCTCCACAACAAACATAAGTCGGGGCCTTTTATAGCCGACTATATGGTATGGGTTTTTCTCATTGTTGAAGGCCATACAATTGCCTATAATTGTTTATATCCACTTTATTTGAACTTTGGTGAATAGTTGTCTCATTGGCAATCATACCTCATCTCCTTATTTTTATATTTCTTACAAGTATTATGCAACATCAATAAGACAAACAACCATAAATGACTCAGGACCCAGGTCCAAAAATAAAAACTTCCCAACTTTCCCTCCCATATCCATTTTAATGGAATAGACCTCAACAGAAAACAGCAAACTTTCATAGGGAAAAATTAAAAGGAAACAATTTAAAGACATTTATGACTAGAAGAATTTACATGTGTTTACTCCTATTTGTCTTAAATACAAAAATGCTATGAAAAAATATTTTTGGAGGCACATAGGGTGTCATACCTCCTCCCATGTCTTTCAGTTTATGTCTTAATTCTGCATCATCGTCTCCTTGTGGTATTGGCTGACTAAAAGGGAAGGCATCTAGCTGCTGTTGTCTATCATCTCCATAACCTTCTATAGAAACTGAAAAAATAAAGGAGTTACCATGATAACTACAGTTCTCAAGCTTCTTTTGTTAGTCCTCTCCATTCTCTCCTACATGAGGGTCGTAATGGGGGTACCTTCACTACAAAAGTCCAAAAGTCTGAAAAGACCAGTTTTTGTCTCGATTTGCATGAACTTTTACTCGACATTCTCAAAAAGAATGAATTATGTCTTAATTTTTCTTGACAAATTCTGACTTATATTAAATAAGTATGAAATTTACTCGACATATTCTCGACATTCTGAATACTGTCTAAAAATTTCTCGACAAATTCTCGACATTTAAATACTGTCTTAAAATTTCTCGACAGATTCTCGACATTCTTTTTTTTTCTCATTATGTCTCGACAGATTCTCGACATTCTTTTTTTTCCTCATTATGTCTCGACACATTCTGAACATTTTGAATTGTGTCTTAATTTTTCTTGATATATTCTCGACATGCTAAAATCTGTCTTGAATGTACTAAACACTAGGTCAAACTAGTTTTCCCATTGTTTAGTTAGAGTTATTCCCCTTAATGAATTAAATGCAGATTATTTTCTTTGGAAGTGTAAGTGTAGATAATAATATGTAAATCTATTATAAACAGTTTTTTTTCTGCATTTGTTAATCCTCCGTATAAAAAATAAAACAAAACTCTAGGTATAGGTTTAGTTGCTCGCAGTAACATTTCTCTTTTCTAGCTAGCAATTTTAATCACGTTAATAACATTATAAACTATAAAATGATATATATTATAACAACAATATTCAAACAAAACAAAATACAAAATGTCCAATACATTATTTAAATGGACTGAAGTCATATTTGTTATTGTAATCATACATTATTATGTGAACTGACTGTCTTAATTACTGCGAGCACTTTCTGTGAAATAAAACCCAAAAATTATATAACATAGCTGAACCCCACCTTTTGAACCGCCAAAGAATTTCTTTGCATATATTACCCATATATTTCTTTACCCCAAAACAAGAACCTATTATACAACTACTCTCACTAACCATTTTTGAACTTATAAATACTATAACAATAACACAGGGAAAACCCAAAGTCTCAACAAAAAGAAATTTAATTTTATCCTTCAAGATGACAAACAGTAAAGTGACAATTCAACATTCAAAACATACTTGTCTTTTAACAATAAAAATACAGGACAATTAGGTTAAACAATAAACAAAGTAATTTTTGTGTTTCTTATCTCTTTTCTTTAAGGATATTTGCTACTCTGTTTAAAAATAATAAGCTTTTTAAATGACTATATTACAAATTGATTGAATATAAATAAAGGAACTGGAAAAGCAGAAAAAAATAAGTGGTCTGTGTGCTTGTTTTCGAGATATAAGGCACTGAAAATTTGGTGGGGAATTATTATTTCTCTAGACTTTTACTACTTTAACATTGGCACCTTTTTTCTTTCAAAAACCATGAAAAAAAAAACAAGGATTTTCATAGATTTTCAAACATGACATTTTAAGCTATATGTGATACAATTAAGGGAAAAAAGTCAGAGTTAGTGTGCAAATTTTTTAAATGGTAGTTCATGGATAAAACAAAACAAGAGGATTCCCAATTACTGGCAAATTTTAAAATAGAAGAGGAGAGAACATCCTTAAATGAATTAAATATATTTTAATTCAATCAGTACTTTATATAATATATTTAAAGTGAAACCTGAAATATTTACATAAATATATACAAAAAACAATCAACTAGCTTAGCCTATGATTAAAATACTGTTAATTTATATCTATATAAATTTTGATAAAATCTGAAAATAAAATTTCAATAACAATAAGATAACATAATTCAAAAGTCAAACTTTACATGGTTTTACCAAATTGTCTATTAAAAAAGGCTATTCAGTTTTTTCTTTATTGTCTGCATCAGCTGACCCTCTACTTGATCTATTTTGCCCAAGCAATGAAAGACACTGTTCTTATGGATACTGTCTTTGTAAAGTTTACCACTTCCTAACTTCCATGTTGTTAGCTTAGGCCCAGCTTTTTTTAGGTAGGTAATGTCCACTCTTGAGCTCCATATCTTTTCCACGGTTGCAAAGTCACAAGACTTGCCGCCACTTGCAATGCAGACATTGTCTCCAACTTTGAAATGAATTCCTATACTGTTTGTCTGTGGAAGCTGTTCTGTAAATACTGGTGCAGGAGAGGTGACTGAAGAAGCAGGAGAAATCATTGGAGATTGAGTGGGTGAAGTTTCTGGAGAATGTGCAGGAGTAGATACAGGAGACGCAGCAGGAGAAGATACGGGTGATGATGTTGAGGAACTCATAATAGAAATATTTCTTTGGTTGACGGATGCCCTGGGTTGTTTTGTTGGTATAACTGCCTCTCTGGCTTTCTTCCATTGCAGTTTTCTGGCACTTCCGCCAGTTGCTATGGCTAACTCCCTAAAATAAAAAAATAAAAAATTAGTTTCTCTGTACTTCTATAAACCTAAGTTTGTAAATATTTATACAGATTTTCTTTTTTATAAGTAATTTGTTTTTATATAGTTATCTCGTCAACTGATATGTTATTATTTTGTTTTAGCTGTTTTGATTAATGCACTAACATTTCAGAATATGCTGCATTAACACACCTCTTTCACTAGTATATAACTTAAAATATTGAATTGTTAACAACAACAAAGGGGTTTTAAAATATCAATAATAATAACTGTTATCATATTGCATAGAAGATTCAATTACCTCCCTTTTTAGTAGGTGTCCAATGTTAGCCACAATTGGGAAATACTTGAATTTATGTTCTTTAAATTATTTCCAGTAACTGATTTACTGCAAACGTCATATGTTTATCTATTATATAAATGCCAATCAGCAAAAAATCCTAGCTTAAATATTATGGGATTGCAAAAATAACCAAATTTAAAAATTTACCCCAAAATATGGTTTACATTAGACAATTACTCAAATATGATACAAATATTACAAATAAAATTGAGAATGGAAATGGGGAATGTGTCAAAGAGACAACAACCCGACCATAGAGCAAATCAATAGTGCCTCCTGTAGTACACTGAAAAGGGGATAGGGGGAAATGAAAGTGCTTTATTGGGTTAATACATTTTTTGTACATATTCAATTACAACATTATTTATACATGTTATAATGATCTTGGAATAAGTTAACAGTTACAGGAATTTAAGTGCATTTAAGGCCACTTTAAACTTGACATTAAAATATATTAACATCAGAGGGTGGAAGGGTCTTTTTTAATTCTTCATAATTGAACCATTTAATTGTATAGAAATTTGGGAATAGTCAGTTGAATCTTCCTGACTTCTTGATTCTATTATTAGGATCAGGAACTGACATTCCATCAAAAGTTGGAATTCTTAATTTGATTAAACAGGATGATTTTTTTTTACTTCTATATCTCATATATATCGTGTACACCTTTAATTCACGGTTTTACATGATAATTTAAAAAGTGAGTACCAGAAACATGGAATGTGACAACTGAACAAGAAATCTAAGAAGATCTCTAAGAAGTAAAAAGAAACTGGTATCACCATTTCATTCTGTAAGGTAAGTTTATTTGCCAGTATTTGTTTCCTGTTTCTTGAATTGTTTTTACAGAACAGAAGTTGCAAAGGTACACTGAAGATATCTTTTTCAACAATTGTTAATTTTATTAACATTTTCAGATCAACTATCAGAGTGTACTATGTATTCACTTGTCTAAAGTAATTGAGGGCGTGTAATTCTGTGATTTATATACATGTTATTTGTTTTTTATTTTATAATTTAATCAGACAATTTATAGGATTGTTAAACATGTGTTACTCTGGGCCTTCTCATAACTTGCTATGCTAGTGATCTTTTGCCTTACTTTAATGGCTGTATGGTAGTTTTTTTTAGAATTCAGAATAGATTGTCTCTGGTGGAAAGTTGTCCATGGGTTATATCACACAACACATGTTTTATCGATCGTTTAATTGATGATATGAAAATCATTGCAGTTAAACTGTTCTATTCGAATTTGAGGTGTTTAATTGCCAAGAAAGCTTTAGATCTTACCTTACCTTACCTCTTTATAAAATATAGATATAGTCATCAATGAAGATGGTTTAAACAGAAAAACCTATGGACTTACAAGAAGAATCATAAAAAAACATTTAAAACAAAATTTCTTCTGTAAAAAATATCACTTATCTTTAAAAAAAAACTCGATCATTTCTACAAAAATAATAATAATTAAAAGGAGAATGTGCCCATGGGACACAGATAGTGTAGCCCGGCTTATATATATCCTTATTAAAGAACATAACTCAAGAATTGTGTATGCTATGCCACCCTATTTTTTAATCATATTACAGTCATACATGTACTGACGTTCTTAGGGACAAAGGTTAAACTTAACACCCTCTTGACCTGGTGGCAGGAGCATGAATATACATACACTTGTTAAATCAAAATTATACTCACTTGGTTTTTTCATATCCCTTTTGGTTGTACATTCTTTTTCTGAACCTTGTTCGTACTTTTTCTCTGGTTCTAGGTGTGTCTGGTAGATCATTGATAAAGTTGATTACTTCAGAAACACTGTCCTCAAAAGCTTTGTCTGATGTGCTGCTTAGTTTCGTTGTATGCAAGACACTGGTTATCTGGTTCTACAATGATAAATAAATATGATAAAATGAATGATATATTACAGAAATAAGTTAAGGAATAAGTTCTACAGTACAGTACTGATGTACTGACATTCACTTAGTGTGACACACTATATTTTCCATTTTCAGTGAACCATGAAATCTGGTCAGAACACTAATTTGACTTACAATTCATAAGGAACATGTTCTCCAAGTTTTAAGTAGATGTGACTTAAACTTCTTTGAAAACTTCCTTGACCAGAAACTTTAACAAGAAATGGTGTAACAATCTTTACTGGCAGACAGATCTAGGAACACGGAAAATAGAGAACATAAAAACTATAGCAGATGGGACATAAAAATTGACATTTATTTTAAAACAAGAAGAATTATCCATTTTGCCCTAAACGGTCCATTTAAGGTAGATTCATGGTATACCGCCATCTTGGATTGTATAATCGCAGTACACAATCGGTCTAGTTATTTGCCCAAATCTGCAAATTAGGAGACAGATTTGCAATTTATTTGTCACACTGTTTATTTATTTAAAGAAAACTTGGTGATTTATTGTATTATTCAAAATATTCCAACAAATATTAAATTTTGTGTTTTGGAATCATTTTTTTTCAACTAAGCCATTTAAGGGGAGATAACTCTTTTAGTAAAAACTTACACTGGCTTGATAGGGAAATTTTTAATTTTTACTTGTAGCAAGAAAACAAGTTCGGTGACACCATTTTTTCTTTTTATTTTCTTAAAACATGTTATAAAACCTATCCTCCCACAATTTATTTCCAAATTCTATCTCATAGATTTCTTTTTATGCATACAAATGTGTTTTTTCATGAACAATCTAACCAGATTTAGGCAATTTTCAACGACTCATAGCTTAAATAATAGCACGGTGACCCATACTTTTTATTATATTTTTGAAAAAAGCATAGTGAAATCTTCATTTTGGCAAAGTATAAGAAAATTCTATCTCAAAAAATATATACCGATGGTCTACCTTAAGGCCATAATTACATGCTGGTTCATTTTGCAATTTTAAGTGTTTGTATAAATTTTTTTTTTTTTTATTTTTAGATATGTGACCATTAGTGACAAATTGATGATCTAATAATGAGTAATTCTGTATGAAATTTTTGACCCCAATTTCATGGTTCACTGAACTGACCTCTGTTTCTTTTATAGTCATGGTGCTGTCGGTTTATTTTTGATATATGAGTTTGGACATCCCTCTGGTTCCTTTCCCCTCTCTATTCAGGTGCAGATCCAGCCATTTTTTAAAGGGGTGGGGTCTAAAACCAAGAAATGTGTCAGGGCCTTCTATAGCTGACTATGTGGTATGGGCTTTGCTCATTGTTGAAGGCCATACAGTGAACTATAGATGTTAATTTCTGTGTCATTTGATAAATTTTGAAACATATTTTGAATCTTTTTAATTTTTTTTATCAAACTATTAGGTTACACTCATACAATTTTACCAAAAAAACTGTTGAAAAATATTAATCATTAATATTAGAGAATTAAATAGGGATCTGGAACTTACTTAATATATTGTACCTATTTATTCATAATCATAATGTGATGTTTCCTATTTATCATTATTAACAAAAGCTAGGAGTAAATGCTCTCAAGAGAGTGCAATACTTTACAATTAGCCTAAAAGGTTGAGCTGAAAAAAATATCAACCTTTTTTTTGTATGTGTAAAGAAAATTTCAAGTGTATGAATTTTCTCTGATTCAATTCATTTGTTGTTTCATATCTTCATGCCGTAAGCATAAATTATCCATTTGAACCCTTTTCTTTTTAAGAAAATTAAGTATTGTTTAAAGTTTAAGAAATAATATTAATTCATGTGCCAAACAATTTTATGTAACAATAAATTAACTTCATTTCAAATATCATTCCTTAAGATTAAATTCAAAATTAAGCGAAACCTTAATGACATGTCTACCTGAAGTAAAGAATAAAAAGATTTATATAAAATTTAGAAAAATTTCTCCTTTAATACAAAATATCAAAGTACCTCTATCTTTAAGTGTTTAAAACATTTAAAATAGTGAATCTCAGACTGATTTATAATTTATGCAATCATGAATGTTTTTATCTTTTATCATATTTCCATTTTTTCTAAAAAAATTAAATATGGAATTTTTCCATTTTTCCATTTTTTTCTTTAACAATAAAATATCGAATTATTTCTCTGATGCTACTGCGGTCTTAATTCTTCCTCTGATGAGGCAGCTTATAAACTTAAAAAAAAAGATACACCATAAATAATAACAAGGATTTGTATAGTAAGATCTTTAATCTTTGATAATAATAATAACAATTAAATAAGGCAGTTCACTTTCATAATTATATAGACTTGACTAAAATCCCTACCACCCTAAATCACAATTGCAATGTTGTTTTAAGTATTAAACATTCAAAATGTTTTCTATAGTTATTTTATTTCATATGAAACTATTGGCACTTTCTACAGTTAAACTTTTGATTGTATTGTAGTGTGACTATTATACTAACGTTAGTATAATAGTCCCAGATTGTATGCATTAAAAGAAAAGCATTATTATTTTTCATAATCCCACCATATTTTTTTCAATTCATTTTATTTTACTTTAATAACATTTTAATTCACTAGTTAGTAATTTTCACACCTTTAATTAGTCAGTGTACAATTGATGAAGGTAAGAGTTTAATCTTATCATTATGATCTTAATTTACATCATCAACCTTGACATATTTATTGCAGTATATATATTAGATCTTTAAAAATGTTCACACCTTTCGTGTATTACCTATAATTAAAACTTATAATGATTTTTTGCAAAATAAATTTTATTACTTTATCAACCTGATCAAAGGTAAATATTTTTTTAATCTTTTGATTGATGTTTTTTACTCAATCATGAAACAGCATCATTTTTCTTTCACCTATGTTTGAAAACTCATTAGCCAATCAGAAAGTTTTAAGCACAAACATAAGCATTGTGATATAAATATAATCTCAATTATTTAATTGAAATCCATATATCTCATAATCCTGTCAGTGCATAAATGTTGTTAATCTTGTTTCTTGTATTAAACTATGGGTGTTGCAGTTCCCTTCAAATATGGTGAGTAGAACTTTATTTTTTTTTAACTCATACTTGAATATAATTATAATGATTTATATAAATACACTGCAGAGACAAAACTAAATAGATTTTTATGTTTATGGATGGTCAAAAGAATTTAAACGATTAATGAGATAGCTTTAGAAAATGCTTTTAAAATATCAAAAGAATAGATAGGGTCACAGTTATGGCTAAAATACAAATAGCAAGATTAACAAGTAGATTCCTTCAGAAAATGCACTATTTCACAGTCACCTCCTTTCAAAATCCTATTTTGAAAAAAAAATTATGCAATAATAATCTTTAGAAGCTTGTAAAAATATTAATATAGCACATTTATTCTTTTAAATGAAAATTCACATTAATTATCTGGATTTCCTGCCGTATCAGTATCAGTATATGTTTGGCAAACAGAAATACAATTGAATTCATCTTGATCACAGTTTCTTCATATTTTGCAGTCAATCCACAACAGTCAAATATCATGAAAAGGAGTTCCATATATCCTATCAATATTTTTAGCTTATTTTTTTTCTTCAATAATGTTTCCCAATTTAAAGTATAAATTTTATTGTGTGACAACTCTCCAAAAGAGACCAAATGACACCTAACTAAATAACTATAGGTCACTGTACAGCCTACTGCAATGAGCAAAGCCCATACTGCATAGACAGCTATAAAAGACCCCGAAATGACAATTGTAAAACAGTTCAGTTTTATTTCAATGATTTAAAATATTTAAATATTCAAAGTTATAAGTGCATGGTATAGACTTCTTCTATCAGAATACAACTGAAAATATCTATTTTAAGGTCATACATATATATTGCTAGTTTTACCTTAATAGCTTTTTTCAATTATAATTTAAAAAGTATATAAAATTATCAGGTTATAACCCTTTGTCATATAAATAAATATCGACACATAAACAAATAAAACCTCTTTATATATTTGTATAAATGGGGCTTAATGCTATTGAAGAATTTGATCATTGTTGAAGGCTAAGGATGTCAGTCACATTCTACCTTCCCTATAAGAACAATTCTAATTGATAAATTTCTCATTATCATGTCTTGTCCTGAATATGTATCTGAACTACCACTGAATGTTTAAAGCTAATCTATCATTTGACACTTGTTGGATAAACATAAAACTTAAATTATACTTTTTTAAATGCTAGAGAATGTGAATAAACCATTAATATATTTATATATATAATTGATGAATATTAAGATTTTCTAATTATGGTTAATTCAGGCTGATCATCATCTTTTCAACTTGAAATGTGTTCTTTCTGTTGATATCTACATTGTACATGATTGTAGTATGCTTCTGAATGGTAGTTTTGGTCATGCTAAATTAGTACCAGATTAATACAGTATGATAATATGTTACTTTCTTTCATTGAACACTTTCTATAACGAATGCAGTATAGACCATTATCATACTGATTACTTATTATTTGAAAAATTTCACTTCTAAATGTAAATTATACTGATTACTTATTGTTTGAAAAATTTCACTTCCAAATGTATGAGGGGATATTTCTGATATGATAAAACTTTTTTACTTTCTAATAGAAATAAATAATATTTAGAACACATCTGACAATATCTTACCCAACAATCTTTTGATTATAAACATCTTAATACATTTCATTTTTAAACTATTGGTTAGACTTTAGTTAAGAAAATAAAATGACTTTTTTTGAGAACAGACCCTTAATTTTTCATATTTTTCAAAGTATGATAGTAACTACATCTATACAAAGAATTAAATATTACTTTTATTATGTACAACTGATACTCTTCATTAAAGGTCTAGTAAAATATAAAATACATATTTTGTCTTACCTGTAATAGCTTAAAGGCAGTTGTCTTTGGTTTGAAGTAGTCTTCAGTAGTCATGTTGAGAACTAAAATATCAGTCTGTGTACCAACACTTTCTTTGGTCAGATTACAGGCACACACTAGACCAAAAGCCATTTGTACAGCACAGCACTTGCATCTTAGATCACATTTTGGTGGCTGATCTTCTCTGTCAGATTCTGTATTAAAGTTATGTTGTGTGGCCATAGTCCTGTTATGACTGTCTTGAGAGGAAGGATTCAGCATCTGAATTTTAAATTAGATTTAGCAATGTAAATTAAATCACTCTTTAAGACATTATAAAATATTGATACATACTAAAAAAATTCTAAAAAACTCTTAAAAGATTCAGTGAGCTATAAGCCTTGAAGCAAAGACATCCTTTTTGATAGGCTATTTTGTTTATCTCAGCCATAGAAATTATTTGTGTATTTTGCCTTTGAAATAGGACAATAATGATTAACTAAGAAATTGTCATTTGCCAACGATGTTGAAATGGGCAGAAATATAAGTCCAGTCAGGGGTACTACATGTACAAGTAACTTTTATTTTATTTACTTGAAGAAGTAAATTTGTAAGATTATATAAAGATACTTTAATATACATACAAGTGTACAAGTGTATTTTATTTAATTGTATAAGTAAATTATTTTATTTGCTAAGTTATGTGCCAATTAGACTTTCAAATTTTTTCACTTATACAAGCTCTGATGGACAATGAAAAGATGAATATGACAAAATTTACTTATATAAGCTTCTTCAAGTAGTTAAAAAATATCTTGTACTAGAAGTACCCCTGACTGGTTTCTTGTAAAAAAAGTTTTGTTCTCATATTATGGCAAAATGACTTATTAATCTTAAAAATTAATGGTTTAAATCAATGCTAGACCCTCACTTCTGATCATTGACACAGAACCAGTCTTAAGTAAAACCATCTTAACGGTTTTACTCTGGATCAAATACTTTATTTATTTAGCTAATAAACTATATGAATTAAACCTCTTTAAACAAAAAGTTCATATTTCCCCATCTAAGAATTTTATTTTCATACTTGTTTCTATTGTAATATTCAACACAAATTATCATAATACATTGTTTAAAAATAAAAGAGTAAAGAAATTAATTTATTTGTGAAAGAAAAAAGTAGCTCAACATGTTTATGTACTGTTAAAAAAAGAAAGCAAATAAAAAATTATGGCTTCTGAGAAAGATCTTTGGAAAAAGAGAGATGGGTAATCTCTGTTAAAAAAAGATATTTAAAAAGTACTCAAGTGAAAGTCATGACCACAATTACCATAATTCTGGTTGAAATGTGTTACCCAAGATTTTGCAACACTATATTTGTCTACTATTATGCCACTTCTGAATGTCATGTTTATTGACTCGATCCAACCATATGATATAACTTCTTGAAAAGGTATTATTATTTTGCTGGTATCCTTCTAGAGGGGGGTCGGAAGGGACCTGAAACCCGAAATCCTTGGCTTAAAAACATGGAATCCTGAGGTCCCAAATTAAAAAAAAAAAAAGCCTGATATAACTTAATTCGAAAAAAGAAATCCAGGATCCCGAAATGATCAATCCTGAAATCCCGAGCTTAAAACACCTGATTACGATGTCCCGATTAAGGTCCTGCCCCCTCCTTCTACAGCATTATGAAGTTGTAGAAAGGCGTCGACCAAAGCAAAGAAAATCCTTTCAAGACCTCATAATTATTTGGACTTTTTCTGCAAGTGTTTTTCATTAAAGGATCAACTTTAAATGTGGTGGTATTTTATCGGTGTCAGACATTTGTTTTCACATGAACATTTATGAGGGGGGTAGCCTAGGAGGGGTCCTGATCCCGAAATCCCAATATCCCAAATTTAAATCCCGACATCCCGAAATTCAAAAAAAAGAATTACGGATCCCGAAATCCTGAGGTTAAAAACACCCTATCCCGGAGTCCTGATAAAGGTCCTATCCCCCCTCATTTAAAGACGCTCAAGGTATCTATCAAATTATTTTTCTATATTCAACACTAAAACTGTATATTGAAGGCATGGGGAAAATGGCTTCAGAATATATTTTTTTTGTCATCTGCTTGAAGATAATTTTTCATCAAATTGGGGATCAGAATATTTTTAAAGGAAAAGTCCTCCCCCCTCCCCCCTCCTAGTGGGTATAGTCCCTCACATTATCATCAGTGACTATTACAAGTGAATATTGTCTACCTTTTTTGAAATAACTGAGTCCCAAATTGTTATGTAAAAAGCTTGATTAACAGGAGATTTTTTTTCTGACATCTTACATTAGCTGCATGTCGTCTGTCAAGTCAGACCACAGAACTAGAAGCTGCTTCAACATGTTCAAGGTCAAGGTTGAAAAGTTGTATCATGTGACATTTTTCTGTTTTTGCCCATCTCGTGAACATTGACAAACAGACAGATTTATTAGACCGATGGATATGTATGATTTTTAGAGATTTATTCATTAATTGTTCAAACAAAGCCTTTTCTAACTTGACCTCCTTATCCAGGTGAAAATATAAATGGTGATGTTGCACTTAACAAAACACAGCATAGTTATTTTTATTTACAGTCTATGAAAAGAAAAGTGTCCATTTCAGTAGCGGATCCAGAAATGTTCATAAGAGGGGGTCCACTGACTAACTAAGTGGGGGCCCGCTCCAGTCATGCTTCAGTGATTCCCTATATAATCAACCAAATTTTCCCACAAAAGGTGTGGGGGGGGGGGGGGGGGGGTGGGGGCGGCGGGCCCCATGAAAAACCCTCTTGATCCGCCTCGGCTTTTCAATGAGTTTTTTATTTATACAATGTTGGTATCTACTGCATGAGCAATCACAAATTTATCTCAAAAGTTAAAAATAATCTAAATTATGTGAAATTTCCTTGCTCCATTTATAAATTAATGTCAAGGGGACTGCAATTATATTATATTTAATAAACGTACATCTTCTAATTGCTGGACTCCTCATGGCAAAACATATAACAAGTCCCTGCGGACTCACCTTAAAAATCCTTAGTGAGAACCCTGGACTATCTTCTGGTTTTTTTTATGTTTCTTAATATGGCTTAGTCCTGTGACTTTCTGTCTGTTTTTGGGGCAGATTTAAGGGATTTAGTAAAAAGGGACTTTGTGTGGCAGAAATTAAATTCAGTACAGAACCTAATATCATTGAGTATCAAAATTGCACCTATTTAGCAAAAATAGCAGCAGGATTTCTTGCAAGTTGTCTTAGATATTCACAAAACATTCATAGTATAATTCAACAGATGAACTTAAGCTATTCACTGGAGAAAGTAAAATGTAGGGAACATTCACAAAAAGGTCTCTTTTAAAACGAAAATAAAATATGAGCTGCGTTGGATAGAAATCAACATTATGCAAATAAATATCTGCCATTATCAATGCATCTGTGAATTTAATTTCAGTTGAAAAAAATCTTTATTCAAAGTCTGTTACTGTTTAGAAATTTAGTTGATATTAAACCCTACAAAACAGACCAAAATTCATCTTTTATATTGTCATGATTGTATTTGGAATGTTCCAAAACCAATCAAAGTCTTATACATGTACATGCATACATGCACTTGCATAAGATTGATTTCTATCCGATGCAGCTCAATTATGTTACGAGAATCCATTTCTTAATAGATGAAAAGTAAGCATGACTGTTAATTTCTGTGTAATTTGGTCTCTTGTGGAGAGTTGTCTCAGTGGCAACCATACCACATCTTCCGTTTTTATGGACAGATGTCAAATTGATTTAATTTTTTGAAGAAATAATATAAAGCATCCATTTTTCCATTTTTAAGGATGTGAATTTAAGCATGAATGCAATTTGGGTACAAATCCTTACAGAATCATGGTAGTTTGGAGGCCATTTCAAACCAATTTTTCAATGATTAGGTATAGGTTCAAAATGTAATTGGTTGAACTATTTAGGAAATAAGGATACAGTTTTACAATATAAACACAGAAAGGAAACTTTTGACGTGATCATCAATAAATGTAAAACACAAATAAAAACTGGCATTCATGAAATAGCTAAAGTTTGCATAAAATCATTAAATGGCATTAAAAAACCAACAATCAATCTACTGATCTAATATGTCATGCATGTAATGAAATTTTAGTGTGAAATTTTCTCAGGAATAAGCTTTATACAGGAAAATATTTTAAATTTAAACTAGGGATCATACAAAATTCAAAACCTTTACTTTAATCTGTAAGTTATAGTTTAAAGTGAGAAATCAATGGTGGTATTACACATGAATAGGGATACTTCTAAAACACCCTTGATCTTGATTGAAAACATGGAAAATAATCTTGCTTTTTTATATTTCATATACTGTAAACCAACTTTTTAATTGAAGCGATTTATTTTGGCGACCTTCGCCAGAGGAAAAATAATGTTTATTGATTACTGGGACTAGTATAATAGTCCCAGTTGATTATGATGAAAATTTAAAACTTGGATCTTTCCTTGTCTTATAACATTTGAGAACCACAAAATTAAATCAATGTGAAACGGGCTAGAAAGAGTTAAACGTGAAATGAAGTATCCGTGAATATCAGTTTGTTTACAGAATATACAACAAAATGAGAGATAATTGAGTGGTTTGATTAAATGACATTCAAGTGAAAGTAACTTTCTACTTTTACTATTATGTGTGGCAAATATTTAGGCATCTATAGTCTTGTTATATTAGTGATCTGAAAAGTATTGTTGGTGAGTTCTTATTTTATATTCTTTAATCACTTTTTCACTGTTTGGCTATAAAGGAGGACTTGAGATTGTACATGTGTATAACATAACAGGGAGATTACTCTTTAAAATCATTTGAATATTTAAATCACATTCTAAAAGTAAAAAAATATTAATTTAAGCTTCTAAATTATCAATATTTGTGTTTGTTAAACTGCTGTATAACTAATCAAATTAATCCTGTAAATTCTGTTTTTCAAATTAATCAAAATTATATATCTTTTAACAGGTTGAAGTTCATATTTTGTTAAAATTATATGAAAATTAAACAAGCCAACTATATTTTTGTCAATGAGCTGGATATTAACCCTTAAAACCTGAAACAATTATAAAAAATATCAAGTAGGAAGTCAATGAACTAGTGTACATGCTAAAGAGCACTACCAACTGATTACTTGTATTTGTAATAAATGTATTTGTCCCTATCTGAGACATGGACAAAAACTTTGTATATAAGTTAACAGGACATAGCAAGACCTCCATGCATGAACACTTCAAAACTGATTTTTATATTGATTAATGGTGAACTTCAATGAGGTTTCCACAAATCTATATTTTTTAAAAGTTAATTGTTAATATAATAAAAGATGAAAGATTGTTAAATTTACAGAAAAAAATCTTATAATTAAGCCAAAAAGTGATAAGAGATAATTATCATGTTCATTGTCTATTTGGCTCATGCTTATCTTTTTTCTTAAAGAAGATGTGGTATGATTGCCATGGAGAAAACTCTATACCTTATGTAGTTAATGCTAGCAACTTTAGGATATTTATGGCTTTCAACATGTCCAACCATAATGATGTTGCCTTTTAAACATATATCTGAAGATGCAGTTCCTTTTTAAAATGTTCTTAAAGCTTTAGGTAAATTTGTTTATACTAAATGATTTTGTCCTTTTAAGAAAATTCTGTTTAATCTTGATTATTTATGAATAAGTTTTAGTGTAAAATTTTTGTCCCTTACAAAATTTAACATCTCCTAAATTGAATTAGAGAAAAAAAATGGACAAAGATTGTTTGATAAATGTATGTAAATTAGAGTCTTATCTCCAAATTTTAACCAATATGTATTCATTCGACAAATTGATAGCAAATACCCTAGCACATGGTATTTCCTGACAAATACACTGGCAGTTTCTGTATGTGACTGTCCCAAGTCAGGAGCCTATTATTCAGTGGATGTCGTTTGTTGCTGTGTAACTAAGTTATTTGTTTTGATCTTTATTTAGTATAAATGTAAGACTCAGATCAAGGTCCGGTCTCTTACCAATCCGTTCCTCAAATCGACTTTCAAATCTGATGTCATGATCAAATAACATTACAAATGGACGGCCAATTTTATGCCTATCTAATCGACGGCCAAATTGTGACTTCTCTATTTGATGTCCAATTTCTAGCTTCTCTATTCAATGCTCGTTTTGAACACAGAATACAAAATTGAACTGGTTGCAGCTGAAACCTTTCGACCGTTCAAACATTTTATGTGTGACAAAAAAGCTATTTTTAGAAATAACATATTTTTTTAAATCTATAACATACATTACAAGCTTGTAATCAGGTTGTGGTATCAATTTTCAAATTTTAGAGATAACATAACAAATAAGGAGATGTGGTATGATTTCCAATGGGACAACTATCAACCAGAGTTCAAATAAGGCCAAATAAAAAAGTATGTGTGTTTCCTGTTTCCCTACCTATCCTATATTTTCAGCTTTGAAATAGCCTACCTTAAATTTTTATGGTCATTTTTCAATAAATACTGTTCAGGTCAGAATTTCTCTCCCATAGACTTGATGTAAAAAAAGTAATTGTAAAATAAGATAAATTCCTACCCACACATACTTTTTTTTGGCCTAAAGTGAATGTGATAATTATAGGAAACCATTTGGCTTTAAAAAATTATAAAAACCCATACCGCAAAGGCCACAACATGAATAGCTTGAGATGAATAGTGTAAGAAAATTAACGATCTAATTTATAACAAAACAATTCTGAAAGACCAATATAACAGACATACACCAAGGACAACCACTAGACTACAGGCACATAAAGAATGGGTCGGGGTTAAACATGTGTGTGAGCACTTAACCTAGAACAGTGGTGTAACAGCACAACATAAAAACATAGTTCCAATTTCTTGCGTATATTGTTTAACTCCAGGTGTAAAACTCAGAAATTTGTTGAAAAATATCTTACATATTCCGAATTATAATTCTCTCAATATCATTTACTGTACTTCTTATTTTGTCTATTTGATTTTTTTTTACATGAAATTTAATACAATTTTCTAAACTTTTTCACTAGATATCCATGGCAGCATACTATGTGAATCTTTTGATTGTATAAATAAGAAAACATATTTTTCATGCAATTTCGCTGCAGTTAACTTGAAATAAGTATTAACTTGGAGGGTTAGTTTAGTTAAGCTTTCTGAATTATGTTATAAATTGTGCTTTTAAAATAGACATGGACATCATATGTTTAAAATAAATCTTAGGAGTTAAATTTGGCAACAGGTGGACTTATGAAAGATTTTTACTTTGTGCAGTAAGGAATAAATAACTTTTGTTGTAGGAATTGTAAAATGCTTAGAGATGTTTGATAGTAATAAACACATATATATATGCATTGTAATTTTAATAAATTAATTTGAAAGAAAGATGAGTATACCAAATAAATAATGACAATATCAAAGTATTGTTGCATCTTAACCTTTATTTCAACAAGGACCCCTAGTATTTAACCTTTTAAAAAAGAAATATATATATGTGTTACGCCTAAAAGCGTTAAGTTGGAAGAATTGTGGTATTGTTTTAAAAAAAACTGAAGTAAACATTTTCTTGTTACTATTTAAAAACGGTAAAATGCTTTAAATCTAATATATGCAATATAAAAAAAATATAAGGAGATGTGGTTTGAAAGACTATTTTATAATTTATTGAATACTTTTAGATGATGTTATTCATGTTATTTGCCACTTTTAATTTATATGCAATGTAAAAAAAATATGAGGAGATGTGGTATGGAAGACTATTTTATAAATTATAAGCAAATCCATTAATAACATATCCATTTAAAATTAATTTCACAATGATTTAAATTTATATTATATTCTTTAAATTATAACCGGCTACTATAAGTTTTAAAACTTGAATAAACATGACTGACTTACACATATAAATAATATTTTGCTGAATTTCAATAAAATAGTGAAACCAGCTTAAAGTCAAGTTGGTATAAATAAGCTAAAAAACAACTTATTAAATCACATAGTGTGCTGTACAATAGACCTAGGTTGATGGTATGTGCAAACTCTTATAAAGTGTGTCTCTTTTTAAATTTAATGGAACTTTGTTGTCAAAGAAAAAGAAATTGTTTGCTTTTGTTAATAATGACTGAAAATGAATATTTTTTGTTAGAGCAAAATCTAGATAAAAAAAAAGTCGATTAGAAGGTCGGATCATAATTTTTTGCACCGTTGTTACTAAAAGAAGAAGATGTGGTATGATTGCCAATGAGACAACTCTCCACAAGAGACAGAAATGTCACAGAAATTAACAACTATAGGTCACTGTACGGCCTTCAACAATGAGTCCATACCGAAATGACATTGTTTTAATAACATATCAAAAAGGATATTTTATAATTTACAACCTAAATTCATGGAATGCAAGAAATCATGTTGAAAAATGAATTATAATTACACAGAGAGTGTTCATGATCATTTAATAAAGATATCTGTTGGTCTATTAGCATGATAAGTATCAAAAACATTTTGATATGACCTAACCTTAGAATACTATAAGTTAAATATAATTGAAGACAATTTTGGTATATTTTTTTATATATATCTCAACTTTGATGCTAAAGTTTGCTATCTAAATCATGGATCATAGTCAGACTATACAAATCCTTGTTTAAATCAACCACAATGTTAAATATCAATAATTTTTTTACTACACAACATCAAATATTGCAAAAAAGGGTCTTTTTAATGCTCAGAAATATAAAATATAATATAAGCAAAACAACATTATCAGATTATTAAAAAATATTAAAAAAAAATAGCTCCACACTTAAATGCAGTATTCATGTTCATATTCATAAAGAGGTTAGAATTGAATGAAAATAAAATGAGTAGAAATGGTTTATTAGGTCTTATGGTTGTGTTTGAATATTATTATTTTATACGGAGTAATTAACACCCCCCCTCTTTTTCTATCCGTCCTCCCAAATAAAAAACCTAAATTAACTTTACTAGACAGATTTTGATGCCTAAAATTAATTACAAACATGTTAATTATTTAAAGTAATTATTATAGTTTATTTGCAACTCACCGTATTTTGCTGGTATGACATCTGACTTGTAGATCTACTACTAGTTGGCAGTGAATAAGTTGGCTGATATTGGTGCATTATCTGGTTGTTACTTCTCACATTGTTAAGATGTGTAAAGGTTGGCTGGTAGTGACGTTGATATTCCATGTTGACAAGCAAATAATAATTTGCAAGCATTCAGTTTTACTTTTTATATAAGGTTAAAAAGATGATAATTGATTGGTTAACATCTACTTGTGTTTTCTATTTGAATTTTTACAGGTGTTATTTCTAATAATGATGAATATGGCTTCAATGCCAAGCTGACATGTATATAGCTCTTGTGAATTGAAAATGCCATTTCTATTGTGTTTTTAATTTTATGATTGGGTTTGTGAAGCCATTCAAATATATCCTGATAATAAACTTCAAATGATGAAAGGTTTTTGCAAAATCATTAAATGTATGGATTGTTTTTCCTAATTGCTATCAAAACAACATTAAATTATTTCATAATGTATAATACATTTGAAATGTTGTGTACAAATATATTTACAATGTTACTGATATGCATTAATTACAATCAGAAGTTTTATGTTTTTAAAATATTTTTAAAATTAAAGTGATTTTACATAAATATAAAAGTAAATTATACATTTTCCTGCATCATTGTGCATTATATTTAAAGCTGTTTTGAGTTTACATTTTTAAATAGTACTATTAACTTTAAAGTTTATAGCCCTAACCAGTAATATTCCTTAATATATTACTATGTGAATCAGTATATTTGCAAAATTTGTCAAATAAAATATAATTCATTAGAATTAAAAGAAGTGGTAATCTATGAAAATCCACAGTCAGTCTGTGCATGATGAGATTCACTTAATTTCATTATGTCCAAGAAAAATTAGATTATAACTTAAATTTTACATTGAAATTCTACACAAAATTGAAAAAAAAAAATCAAATTAAAGCTTAACCTTTAGAAAGCATGACAAGAGCACCAGAACTAGTTTAGCAATTTATTAGGTTGATTTTTTAATTTTGTTTCAGAATTTTTAATTTTATTTCTTATCGAAATAAATATATTGAAAAGAATATGTACTCTAAATTTTAAGCATCTGTCAACAATGACTGCAGTCTGTGCCAAACTGTTTAAGGGTTTGTCTGACCAAAGAAGAAAATTGAACTTTTCTACTATATATCAAACAAAAAAAAAAGTTCTGTCTGTCCGAATGATTTTTTGTCTGACATTTTGTCAGTCAGACAGAGTTTGGGATACACTTTTACTGTACTGATGAAATTAACAGTACATGTATTATTAAATATAAGACCTTCCTTCATAATAAATAATTTACAAAAAAGTTACAATTTTTTTTTTCACAATGTTTTTAAAATTATAAACTTAAAATTTAAAAGCTCATTATTGCAATAGGTCATAGACCAAATGGCAACTAAATACAAAATATGTAAATGTTTGAATATTTACATGTTAGCGTTTATATAATATGTCTATATCAACACCTTTTAAATTTTTCCCCATTTTTAATGAAAAACAGTCAAATACTGGCTAGTTGTCTTCTCAAGAAACACTCAGAGCTCATGCATCAACAAAAAAGATCTTTTAATATAATTTTTGTTATAACCATTAAAATAACTGACAAGAAGATTAAGGTTTTGGAAAAACTACACTGTGTGTTCTTGACCCAAATGTGTTTTTAAATTAATAAACTTTGTAAACTTTTATCAAAACCCTAATTTTATCCACTGAAATTAATTGTTGAAGTTCAGTTGTTTTTATACGACCGCAAAAAAAATTTGTAGTCCTATATTGGTATGACGTTGGCTTCGTCGTTGTCGTCGTCCTTCATCGTCGTCCGAAGACACATTGGTGTTCGCACTATAACTTTAGTTTAAGTGAATGGATCTCTATGAAATTTTACCATAAGGTTCAATACCACAAAAGGAAGGTTGGGATTGATTTTGGGGGTTATGGTACCAACAGTTAAGGAATTAGGGGCCAAAAAGGGACCAAAAATAAGCATTTTTGTAACTTCCAGACATAACTTGTGTGTTAGTGTATGGATCTCTCTGACATTGTACCACAAGGTTCCATATCACAAAGGGAATGCTGGGATTGATTTTGGGGGTAATTGCCTCAAAATTTTAGGAATTAGGGGCCAAAAAAGGGGCAAAAAACAAGCATTTTTCTAGTTTCATGATAATAACTTGTGTGTAAGTGTATGGATCTTTCTGAAATTGTACTACAAGGTTCCATATCACAAATGGAAAGCTGGAATTGAGTTTGGGGGTAATTGCCAAAAACGTTTAGGAAATAAGGGGCCAAAAAGGGGCCAAAAATAAGCATTTTTCTAGTTTCCAGACAATAACTTGTGTTCAAGTGTATGGATCTCTCTGAAATTGTACTGCAAGGTACCATACGACAAAGGGAAGGCTGGGATTGATTTTGGTGGTAATTGCCTCAAAATTTTAGGAATTAGGGGCCAAAAAGGGGCAAAAAACTAGCATTTTTCTAGTTTCAGGACAATAACTTGTGTGTAAGTGTATGGATCTTTATGAAATTGTACTACATATCACAAAGGGAAAGCTGGGTATGAGTTTGGGGAGTAATTGCCCTTAACGTTTAGGAATTTGGGGCCAAAAAGTGGCCTAAAAAAAAGCATTTTTCTAGAATCCAGTCAATAACTTGTGTTCAAGTGTATGGATCTCTCTGAAATTGTACTGCAAGGTACCATACCACAAAGGGAAGGCTGGGATTGACTTTCAAGGGGGTTCAAAAAATTTGGGGGAGGGATTTTTTTTTTCTTTAAAATTTTCCATTTTAAATTGGTTATTTCTGATTTATATATAAAAGCAATTAATAATGATATGGTTTGAATAGGTAAATTAAATTTTTTTAAGTTCTTAGACAACATTCATTCTGTGTCAGAAACCTATGCTGTGTCAAATATTTAATCACAATCCAAATTCAGTGCTGTATCAAGCTTGAATGTTGTGTCCATACTTGCCCCATCTGTTCAGGGTTCGACCTCTGCGGTCGTATCAAGGTGCGCCCAGCGGAGCATTTTATTTTAATTTTTGATCGGGTTGTTGTCACCTGGACACATTTTCAATTTCCATTCTCTATTTTATTCTAAAGTCATTAGCATACAACACTGCAGTAGTAACAGTCATTTCTTTGTCTATTGCAGGATGACATCATCAACATCTTTGTCATATGAAGTACACAGCTATACCATCACCATAATGGATAACTTGAAGAGACAATGCACATGTTCAAAATGTAATGGAAAATTTGTTAACATTAAGACTTTCCGAGCTCATTCAAAGAAAATTCATAACACCGGGCATGCTGAAATATCAGACACTTATAGTGAACAACCTGCAATTGTAAGAGAGTCCAAGGAATTTTTAAAAAAGACTTTGATTTTAAATCAGCCACTTCATGAAGGAACTACTAGAACTGTAAAAGATGCCATAGCAGAACATTTATTTATATTTTCATCTAATAATGGAATGTCAAAGACAGCTTTGTCACAGTATCTTCACCATGAAAAGTGTGTTATACCGCAACCAAACAACCTGCCATCCACTTATAGTGAAGCTGTCACTATTATTCAACCATACCTGATGCCAATAGAAAAATTTAAATGCTGTATAAATGACTGTAAAATTTTTCCTATCAGCAGTACCATTCTTGTCTGTCCAGAATGCAATGAAAGTTTGGTGTTTTCAAACAACAGGAACAAAAAAACATTTCAATATATGCCTATAGTACCCCGCATAGTTCGTTGGTATGGAACTAAGAACCTGGCAAAGATTCTTTATGCCAACAAGCTCAACACAACTGGCAAGCTAAGCAGCTACACAGATGGCAATATATTTCGTCAACAGATGACAGATGGAGTCTTCAAAGATCAGCAACAGCAGAACTGTGTGCCATTGGCTCTTTTTGCTGATGGTGTGAATCCAAATAAAAATCAAACAGTCCAGAAGTCAATATGGCCTCTCATCATCACCTGGATAACACTACCACAAGAAATGCGATATATTTTAGGACCAATGATGTTGGCAGGTATTGTTCCAGGCTATGGTAGAAAGGAACCGAAATCACTGGACCCTTATATTAATGTTCTAGTTGACGAATTATTATCAAACATTGAATGTAACTTGTATGATGCCTACACAGATGCACCAGTAAATGTAAAGATTGCTTTATTACAGTATTTATGTGATATACCAGCTTTTTCTAAACTTCTACACTGTTCTGGTCAGGCAGCTATTCGTGCTTGTTTTTTCTGCAAAGATACAGGTGTCCATAGCAGTTCAGTGAATAAAGTATTGCACATATCGAACAGAGAGTTTTTACGGACAGATTCTCTTTTTCGCAAAGACAAGACATTATTTGCCAAGAAAACTGAAGAGGTTGCTCCCAAACCACAAGCATATTCAAGGGAAGAAGAAATGGAAATAAGAAAAGAATATGACCAAAAAAAAAACAACAACCAAAAATCTAAACTTCAAAAGGAAACTGGTTTTAAAGGGATGCATCCACTGCATCGCCTACCATATTTTGACAGAGTGCATCAGATGCAACCAGATGGCATGCACACATTAGCAGATGTAATCAGTAACATTCTTGATCTTATAACAGGCAAATCTGATGGACCTAAAGTTCGCCAATGTGAAAAAGACTATAATCGGTTTAAAGAAACCTGGCTAAAAAGACCATCATCATCAAGTGCCACATGTGAGAGACCATCCAAACAGGCAAAGAAATCGTCGGCAGAAACAGCTGTTCCTGAACCAACACCAAAAGCACCTCCTTTACCAGCAGCTCCTTGGTTACTGACGAAACAGGATGTTAAATTAGCTGACAACAGAGCAAAGAGTGTAAAATACCCTAAAGGCTTTGATTATACACCTGCTGACCATTTTACCAGAGCATGGACACTGCGTACAATGCATGGCAAACAACAGGTATTGATTATGAAAATATCTTATTTAATGAATCAGATATGAATACTGTAAGTTCAGAAATTTGTGTGCATTTATAATTGCGACTTTTATTTAGACTAAAATGCGATTTAAATTTTAGCGATTAGAGAAAAATCCTGTTTAATTCATATACAATATTTCCAAATGCAAGTTTAAACTATTGTGATTGTAACCCTGCAGCATTTTTCGCAATAACAAATACATCGCAATAATTTCTGAATTTAGAGTAGGTTGCATTGGTCTTTAAAAAAATGTGTCTTTTACTTAAGTCTCATATCTTTTTTTCAAAATTTTAACTGATTTCACCTTTTAAGCAAATTTTACATTAAGGATTATGTACCCTTGTGTTGCTTCAATGCTAAACATATGGAAATTTTATAGACAATCCACAGCCTTTCCCCTTGTACTCTCATATTTGGCAATTCGGTACTTGATAGATAGAGGATTATTGCATGCAGTGCTAGCAATGAATTCTTTAAAACAAGGTTATGAATTTAGATATTGGTTAAAACAAATGAAAATATGGACCAATTCAAGTACACCCTCTAGGGTGCGCTCGACTTTAGTGTCTCAGCCCGAGGTGTTTTGGAATTTAAAGGTTGTTTAGGACTTTTTGTAAACAATAAACGCTAGCTGCTCATAGAAAAACTAGTGAGTAAACTATGTTTCAAATTTTATAACAAAAATCTCTATACTAAAGTCTGTGGATTTTCTACAAAATTCTTGATTTTATTTTCACCAAATTCCCTTTTTCTATGAAATGCAATGAAACTATAAATAATTATGCTTTGCACGAAGTTTCCCCTTGGTATATGTACAAAATGGCCCATCTCTATTATTCATTATCTTTGCTGTTTTGATACTATTGCAGTTTGAAAAGTTCCTAATTCACAGGCCACAGAAGGGGTCATAAACCTTAATATTTTTCTACCACTGAAATAACATACAAGTATATATAAGAGAATTAAGGATCTTTTTTGGTGACACATTTGACTCATCTATATAAACATAACAAGATGTCTATCGTTGTGGTATGATTGTCAATGAGACACTCTCCATGCAAGACTTAGGTAGTAAATATAAGCAAATTTTTAACAAATCCAATCTTCCATTTGTGCCACACGGTTATATTTCATTTGCGCCAAAAAATAAAACTACATTTGTACCATTTTACAGGTAACATATATGGCAGATTCCATATAAGAAATTGAAATGTCTGTCAAAATGAATAAATAAATAAAAATAATAATAACTGTTATTTTAAAGATAATCTGTGAATGTTTTGAGGAATAATGATGTTAGAAGAAATTATAAAAATAATTTTTGGATATGATTGTTTCCGTTTAAAGTAGAAATGATTAAAACAAGTTGAAGAAATACAAAAGTTTTGACAGAATTAACTCCCATTTTTTTACACAATGTTTATGTGTTGCAATGCTTTATGGTGACACTTGTATACTGGTATTTACTAGTGTAGTCTGGTTATTCAAACATCCCTGTTCCCAAATTTGTTACTTTTTTTAGTCAAAAACATCTGTGATATATATTTTTTTTCACTTTCAAATATCTTGCTTTATAGCTCAGTGTCTGTCAATAAATCTTATGTCAGAAACATCGCTGTAAATACTTTCAAAATCATTGTAGGTTCCAATATATATGCCAGTTAAAACTGTAAGTCATGCTGTGCATAAGAAAAAACACATGTTGATTCTTTCATTTAACTTTATTCAAGCAATATTTTTAACTTATATGTTTCCTACATAAGATCTGTCAAACTTGTTTTCTTATGTCTGAAACATTTGAATGTGCTAACAGTTAAAGTTCTTTGACCTGTAGTGAAATCTTGTTAGATGTTAGGCTGCAGTATTTTCCAGGAGTTTTAAAAATGACTTTCAACTAGGATTTGATTTCCAATGTCAGTCAAAAAAAACAAATATATATTGTCTGTCAAAATATCTTATGTATGAAAAATCTTATGTCAGAATCAAGTCTGTCAAAATCTTATGTCAGAAACTCAATTTGTCTGTCAAATCTTATGTCAGAAATAATAGTCTGTCAAATCTTATGTCAGAAAGAATAAAGTCTGTCAAATCTTATGTCAGAAATAATAAAGTCTGTCAAATCTTATGTCAGAAAAAATAAAGTCTGTCAAATCTTATGTCAGAAACAATAAAGTCTGTCAAATCTTATGTCAGAAACAATAAAGTCTGTCAAATCTTATGTCAGAAACATAATATTTAAGGCTTCGTTTATTTTTTTAAAAGGATGATGCTCATAATTTTTTTTTTGTCAAATTGTCTTTATCTTTATTAGTAAAGCATGTATTCAAAAACAGAAGTTCATTGCTTATGAGTTTTGCCTAACGTGCTTATGGGAGTTGTTTCACTTTCTTATATGGAATCTGCCATAAAGGAAAGGTTTAAATATGATTTTTCAGAGTAAATAAAAGATTATTTTGGGGAAAAAAAAATCCAATTGGCCCAAAAGTAAAGCACAGAATTAGAGTAGAAACAATTTAAGCCAGGTCACACTATACAGCCTTCAACATGTTCAATGTGGAGCCTTGACTCACACCACAAAGTAATCAGTAAACAGCCTAGTCAACATGAAAAAATATGTGTACCAAATATTTCAAATTCAGGGGAGGAAATAATAACTGTCATAATTAATAATAATTTTAAATAATATTATAATTATTTGAAAGCTGGAAAAAAGTACCACTTTTCTTTATTTCTTAAATATATAAAATGAAGGTGTGCCCTATATCTAGTAATATTTATCATATCATCCAAATGCTTTGAATCTTTGTATTTTAACAAAATGCATTTACCATATGCATGCAAAATTGATATGAAATATTCAATAAAGTTATTTAAATAAAATATTTAACTTGAAGATAGAATTTAAAGGAAACCAATTGCAAGTATGTCAAGTACCCTAAACTCAGGAGAATTATTGAAAATATCAATTATGACATTTAGTGTCAAATTATTAATGTCATTAAAGATAAAAAAAAATCTTTTAAACTTCTTTGATAAAAGTTGAATGTGTAAATATTGTATTGGGTTATTTAAAGTACATATAATTCAGTCATGACAGATAGTTGTATGATATGATTATTTTTTTTTGAGAACACATTTGTTAATTCAAACTCAAATAATAGTGAATATTCTTCTTTTATTCATATTCATTTTATAAATAAATACTTTATTTCAGTTCGTAACCAAGAATATTGCAGCATGGTGTATCAGAGGCCTCCTAGCAAAGCCACAAGAAGAAACCTTGTTCAATTTATTTGAAGTGATCAAAAGACTGACACAACCATCCTACACAATTGAGCAGCTTCAAGGACTTATTGAAGACACAAGTACAGCAGTTGTGTTACTTGAAAGGGATTTTCCTTTGACCTTGCAGGTTAGTTTATTTACTTAGATGTATGAGTTCTATATTTATCGGTATTTTGCAATTGAAAGAATCAAGTAAACAATAATAAACTTCTTCATCATTTTAATTATTTCACACGATTAACAGCAGGAGGCACAGCTTAAAGTTAATTTCCGTACACCCCTGATCAACCAAGATAAATTTAATTCTTATAAGATTTCAAAACATTTTGTTGATGCCTCTCGTAGGAAATGTAAATGATTATTAAATTTCCCTTTAAAAACAACGAATTGAAACAAGATATTTTGTTTATTGGTTCAAAAACTACTGTTTCACACAAATGATTGTTTTAATCATTTAAATTTATTTAAAGGTTTAATTAATTTTTCTGCACATAATTAAAGATTGCTTATTATTAGCTGCTACGCTAGATGGGGTGTTATTAACAGCCTTAATTGTAATTGATCAATCAGATTGTAGATTTTTTGCCTCATAAGAAATAGTATATTTTTATCATCTAATTTTCCAAAAGTATGCTTAGAGAGCTGAATAAAAAAAAAAAGAATATCAGGCACTATTTAAGTACTTATAAATGAATACATAATTTGAAAACAACGATTAAGGGGAGATAAATTGCTGAATGATATAGAAATGCAATGTTAGAAGATGTCATATAATTTCAAAAAGCCAACTCTCTATCAGCGACCAATTAATGGACTTTGATGGTAATAATTATACATTAATGCTTGTTGCAATATCAATTAAAATAAGCACGTTCAATTATCTCCCTTGAAATAATTTCCTTCACACACATCCTCGAGTTTTGTATAGCTGATGTGTTAAGTTTCATCAGTAACATCATGACAGACAGACAGACACTAAACCGGTATCGGTACTGTAGTCAGAATTAAGGTTTATAATAATTTCAGACGTAGTATATACTGTATGAATTTATCATATATCATTTGTTTAAAATATTAATATTTGTAGAATATCACAACACACCTGCTACATCATATCCCAGAGGGTTATGAAGACTATGGACCATTGTATGATAGATGGCTTTATCCCTTGGAACGGGCAAACAGTTGGGTGACCAGACAAATTTTACAACACGGACATGAAGAATCAACAGTGATGCAGACATACCGCGTAAGTTAAAACAGAATTGGATAATCTTATCCTGAATATAGTCATACATTTATCTCAGACCACAACATCTTATATATACATGATAGGTTATGAAATGAAGGCGTTTTGAGTTGCATCAACATTTCATTTGAGTTTAAAAATGTACTGAGAAAGATGAATAATACTATGAAATACAATATGCGCAGAGTTATGGTCCTTGGACTTGGTAAATTCACTCAAATAATTAGTTTCCCCCCTTTTTTTTATCATGCTTTAAGATATTGACTTGATATTTGTTATGTAGTTTACACCTTGACAAGCGATAGTTAAAGCATTTTGTTTCAGTGTAATGAAATTTAACAGATAGGGATCTATGTTTTGCCTTGCAATACGCTCAAAATGCTTGATGAAATTTGGAATCAAGGTTCATATTAGCAAGTTATACTGTGTGTTGCATTTTCAGAATTATCACTCAAATTAAACCATTAAAGGTCAAAGAACGGTCTTCCACACGGAACCTTGTCTCATACTAAACAGCAAGCTATAAAGGGCCCCCAAAAATGACTAGTGTAAAACCATTAAAATAGGAAAAACAACCGTCTAATCTATATAAAAAACGAGAAATGAAAAACACTTATGAACCACATCAACAAACGACAACAACTGAACATCAGGTACCTGATTTAAGACAGTTGCAAACAAATGCAGCGGGTTTAAAACTAACACTTACACTTAACAATATCTGTTTATAATTTTCTGATTTGGCTTTCAAGAGTTCAGGCCTACAGACTTGTTTAGATACAATTTATCACATATCACTCACTTACTCTAGTATGCATAAATTAATTTCCTTAATTTATATTTCAGATATACGATTGGAGCTCCTACAACATTTTGAGCGGTGAAATTTTAAATTGCAGCAGACAAACAAGTTTGTGTCGCATGGCAGAAAAAGTTAATTCCATTCACCATCAAGATATATCTACATCATCTACAAAAAGATTCATGTTGCAAAGTGACGATCTATTGATTCTACGAGATAATTACAATAGTATATATAACCAAAGTTATGAGTTATTTGACATAGACCCAGTGGTCACATATCTTAAGTTCAGCCAAAGACAGGATGCAGAGTTAAAACGACAAATTTTCTTTTCAACAACAGAGCATCAGACAACGGCATCACGCTCACATGACTATTGTGTTAGTGTTTCGCATAGGACAAACCTTCGCTTTGGAACAATTAATAAGATTTTCCTTCACAACCATCAAGATAAAGCTACCATGTGGGTAAAATTGGAGATGTTTCCTATTCCGGAACAATCTGGACTATTCTTGGTCACTGATGACAAAAAGATTGACACACATATATTTAGCTTTGATAAAATAAGCAATCCAGTTGTATTTGCTTTAGAAGACAATAAAATATGGTTTTTAAATGTTTAGATATGCATTTATACATGTATGTATTTTGTATGAAGTAGAGAAATAGTTCTTTTTATATACTTGGAAAGGTACAGAAATTCCTTTGTTATGTATTTTCTGGCTGTATATAGATAGAGTTGTTCAAAAGAAAAAAATTATTGGATAAAAGGTTTTATTCAAGTGTTAAGAGATTCTTTAAATGGAAGTCAAGTTTGCTATTTTCTATGAGATATTCATTTCAAAGGGTGTATTACGTTTCCAAATTTTTAGCAAAATTCCAGTTTCACGTTTCTGCATTTTCTTGCATTACTTTTCCAAAATAAATAGTTACCACCTTTACGCATTTTTACCTGTATTTCACCTGTAAAAAATGGAAATAATGATATATAAGACTTAATTTAATTATAGTATTTTTTCTTAAGGTAGATGGGGTGTCTAAATTATAATCCATAGAATTTTTTAATAATTTGCCAAAATGTAGTTTATATCAAGCTTTTTATAAAAAAATGATAAAAAGAATGGGTCACGGGGCTTATTTTCACGCTACAGGTTGTTCAAAATTAACAGATTTTGTATAGATTATGCATCGAAAACCCAATTTTCTGCCATAAAACGAAAACTACACCATAGAATTTTGAGATAAAATATGAGAAGATAGCTTTAATAGTATGCTTTCAGATAAGAAAAAGAAAAAATGGGGTCACCGGACCCGTTTTCTTGCTACATAATAAAATAGGTAAATTCCTAACACATTCTATTGTAAAAGTACCTTCATCTGAATTATCTGCCCTTACATTTGAGTTGCCTCCCCTTATGTGGCAAAGTTGGAAAAAATTGAATCAAACAAAAGTTTTCTGTTTTTTGTAAAATACAACCATAAATATGATAAAACATGTCATTTTCTATATTGAAATGAAAATTCTTACACATGAATTACCTACTACTCTCAAAATTTGCACATTCTATTAAAGATCTAGACCGATTGTTTTCAGGTATTCAAAATCCAAGATGGAGGAAGACACCCTATCTACCTTAATTTGTATTTTCTTAATTCCTTCAACAGGTAGATTATATTCAGATTTAAGGTAGATTCATGGTATACTGGTCCGAGTACACAGTTATTTCGTAGTGCATTTCTTTTAGACAATAAATGAAAATAAAAAAAATCCCACCTGCGCTTTCTCAATAATATTTTTACAGTGTGTTGTACTACTTTTGGGACAAATTATATCAAAATTATAGAAAACTTCATCGGCTCTAACTCAAAATATGGACAATTCTATGTTAAGGGGGTCTTGAAATCTTTTGACAGCTTCCGAAGTGCTAATTTTTAACCTTTTTCAGCTGGACCAAATCACTACTTTACTTTACAATTCATGACCCAAATTTTTTTACAGTGTAATTTCATCCCCCTACTTGCTATTTGAGGCATAAAACATGAAGGAATACATTTGGAAGGGGTACTAAAAAAATTGGCAAGCAACACACTGTCCACACTAGGGACTTTATTCGTGGACAACGAAAATCAAAGGACGATAACTGTGTACTCGGACCTAATAGGATAGAAAAATTTGACCAATCTTAATAAAACTTGGTATGACTAAAGCTTAATAAATTATGAGACTGCTGACAAAGTTTCATGGCAATAGGATATATATTATAGACAATATGATAAATTCTATATTCAACTTCGCGTGTTAAATTTTGACGTTTAAATTGAAAAATTTCAACTATCGACATTTGGGGCTTTAAAAATTAAAATATTGCAAAAAATTACATTTTAAAGGGCTTTATATATGACATATTATGTATTTAAAGCAATAGAATACTCATTTGATTTATCAGACTTATCACAATTATTTAAAAGTCAAATTTATATGAGCCTGTGCCAAAAAATGGAGGTTTTCCAATGAAGGGGGGCCTTACATGAAGATGTATTATTTTCCAGCAATTTTAAATTTGTGGAGTTTTTTGGTTATAAATAATCCTTACATATGTATTAAATGTACTTTAAATGGAAAGAAAAATTACAAATAGCATACCATATTAGTATAAAAGGGTCTTAAGCCAAGTAAGACTGAAAATAATTTAGGGTCAATTTAGGCCGTAGCACATATTTACATTTAAAAATGCATACTGAAGCTATAGGAAATAAAAATTTGTGTCTCTTTTATAATTTCTATACTCAGGTTACATGATACAATAAATCTGAGAATAAAGGGACTCTTGCATTCTACTTTTTTTGCAGACAGTATGGTCTGATACAAAGATTTTTCACTTTTTAGTGAAAAACTCGCATGCAATTTTAGCCTCAGCAGGCTTATATTTGAACCACTTGCTATTTAACATAAGAAAAGAAAGATACTATGTGAAATGAAACAGGTACAAAAGACATTGTGAAGTGCTTTTAATACAAATTTAGTGAAATCTTTATTATGGACTTCAACTTTTATGTACCTAGGTCCTCACATTTAACTTGATCCAAACAGGCCGTTACACGAGGGTCATTTATACAACACATTTTGCACATATTGTCTGAGATAATCTTATTTTCTGTAGATTCAGAGTTCACAAATGAGTAATACAACTGGGTTAAAGCATAGAAACACAAATATTGACACAGGAAAACCTGTCACATAGAAAGTCAGAATGCCATTTATGCATCAAAATTGAAAAAGCTTTGAAATGCTTATTTTGACCATATAATGCCAAAATGGGTAATTTTTGCAGAATTTCTATCAAATAAAAGTTTAAATCCTTTAGTTTCATGCTATCTGACAAATTGACACCATTAAATCATTCAGGGAAGTTGCCAAAGTACAGATTCTATATTTACTGATTTCGCCTCTTAGGTCCGAGTACACAGTTATTTCGTAGTGCATTTCTTTTAGACAATAAATGAAAATAAAAAAAATCCCACCTGCGCTTTCTCAATAATATTTTTACAGTGTGTTGTACTACTTTTGGGACAAATTATATCAAAATTATAGAAAACTTCATCGGCTCTAACTCAAAATATGGACAATTCTATGTTAAGGGGGTCTTGAAATCTTTTGACAGCTTCCGAAGTGCTAATTTTTAACCTTTTTCAGCTGGACCAAATCACTACTTTACTTTACAATTCATGACCCAAATTTTTTTACAGTGTAATTTCATCCCCCTACTTGCTATTTGAGGCATAAAACATGAAGGAATACATTTGGAAGGGGTACTAAAAAAATTGGCAAGCAACACACTGTCCACACTAGGGACTTTATTCGTGGACAACGAAAATCAAAGGACGATAACTGTGTACTCGGACCTTATACTGCCATCTTGGATTGTACTATCGCAGTACACAATCAGTCTAGTTATCTGCTCAAATCTGCAAATTTGTAGACAAAAGTGCAACTTTATTGGTTAGACTGTTTATTTATATGAAGGAAACTTGCTAATTTATTGCATTATCCAAAATATTTAAACAAATACCAAACATTTGTGTTTTAGAATCAATTTTTTCAACTGAGCCATTTAAGGGGAGATAACTCTTTTAGTAAAAATATTATACTGGTCTGATAGGGAAATTTTTGCTTGTTGCAAGAAAACAAGTTCGGTGACACCATTTTTTCTTTTTTTTTCTTTAAACATATTATAAAACCTATCTTCTCACAATTTATTTCAAAATTCTATCTCATAGATTTTTTTTTGGCACAAAAATGTGTTTTTGCATGAACCTTCTAAATAAATTTAGACAATTTTCAACGACTCATAGTTTTAAAAATAGCACGGTGACCCATCCTTTTTATTATATTTTTGAAAAGAGCATAAAAGTCTTCATTTTAGAAAAGTATAACAAGATTCTATCTCGGGAAACTTATACATATGATCTACCTTAACATTGCGAGTACTTTTTAAAAGTCACCATGTGGAAAGTCGCCCCATATGTGTTGAATTCAGTATTTGGTTATATCTTTTATATTAATTTGCATATGCTTGATTTCTTTTTTGGACACTCAATTTCATGTCCTCATTTGGTTTCGGTCAGTATTATCAATGTAAAAAACAATGAGGAAAAGAGTTCTATAAAAATGCAGAAATGTAGTGCAAAAATGTGGAAAAGAAAACACACATTTCAAATCCTACTTTCTTCTGTAATTGAAAAAAAAATTAGTTCTGAGCTTTCAAATTACGACCATTGTACAGGATATATATTTTGCTTTATTTCTCTTTCTAGAATTTACTGTTATATTTCAAGTTACACTTATTACTACTAAAACAAAATTTTGGCAATTAAATATTTTGTATTAAAATGTTTATATGTAAATATTTTGATAAAAACAAATATTGGTATAAAAATGTTACAAATACAAATGTGAGTATGGTTAAATATAAACCAATTTAAATGTGGGTTTGTAAATAATTACAAATGTTAATTTATAAATATAATAAATAAGTGCTTAATAATTGAAATCAATCATACTGTAGACATATTTCATTTTACATGCATAATATTAAATGTTTATATGGTTAATAAACAATTATTGTACCAAATTATTGTTTTTATAATTTGCATTGTGTTATTGTATTCTAATTCTTCTAGGTTTAGTTAAGCCATAATAGAAATGAATATAAAACAGCTCAAGAAAGTGTTTAGACTGTAAGAATGCGTCGATACACAATTCAGATGAAATTTATACTGTCGAGAATGTGTCGAGACATATTAAGACATCATTAAGACCGTCAAGAATGTGTCGAGATATATTCATACATCATTAAGAATGTCAAGAATGTGTCGAGACATATTCAGACATCATTAAGAATGTCAAGAATATGTCGAGACTTATCGAGACAAATCCAAGACAGTCGAGAATAGGTCGAGACAAATCAAGACACTTTTGAGACTGTCGAGAAAGTGTCGAGAATTTTCAGACAATATTAATACTGTCAAGACATATGTCGAGAAAAATCAAGTAATAATACAGATAGTCGAGACATATGTCGAGAATCTAGATACTTATTTCAGACAAATTCAGACTCTGTCGAGAATTTTTACAAAAAATTCATACAAAAAGAGAATGTCGAGTAAAAGTTCATGCAAATCGAGACAAAAACTGGTCTTTTCAGACTTTTGGACTTTTGTAGTGCTTGATGACGAATAACAGTAAAAATTCATGCCAAATGACGTTAACGGTAATTTTTAGTGCATGACGATAAAAAAATCGACTGATTTTGATGAGTCACGTTAAATTCTTTCCAAAAATAATGGTAACTGATAATTATTTAAGACCTCTGACGAATCACGATAAAATTTTAACCGATTTGATGCTAACAGTAGCAGAAAATGACCGTTAATAATAATTATAATAATAATAATAATAATAATAATTAATAATTTAATTTTGGATGTAACGTGTCTTCTGATTGGCTGACGTCGTTTTGTTTATCAGCTCATAGACATAATTTTGTCATGTGACCGTGACGTCATCAATGTTTGTTCATGATTTACTCCGTTTTTAAAATGGAATTAAGAATTAAATTATAAGAAATGACTGTAATATTTTTTCTGCCTATTCGAAATAACATAAAAAATGTGGTCCACACTTTAAATAACCCGCTACGCAGGTTATTCAGTGTGGACCACATTTTTGATGTTATTTCTTCATAGACAGAAAAAATATTACAGTCATTCCTTAAATAATAATAATAATAATGAAAATAATAATAATTAATAATAATAATAATAATAATAATAATAACAATTCTTTATTTAAAGAGGGTTACACAGTTAGCCGGAAAATAAATGCTTAATTTGTAACTATGGTTAATAACCATAGAAATATAATTTCAGAAACCTTCACTAGAAATTGTTCTAATAGAATAACATCTTATGGTATTGTTTATAACAGTTTCCAGTTGAATTTATGTCAAGAGGAACAAAATTTGTTAACAGCGTATTTAACTGATTTCTCCAGTTTTCAGACAAGATGATTTAGAAATGGATAAACAATACACTCCTCATGACCATTAAAGGACAGTCTAACATCAGACTATAATTACCTCTATCATCATCATTAAAGGACAGTCTAACATCAGATGTTGCTGCTAGTGGTACCTCAGCTGACCAGTCATGTCTGTCTTCCTGTTGAGGGATGGGAAGAAGTCGAGGTTCCTCTGGTACTTCATGTGACTTTTTCCACATTTCTAACTGCTCTGTAAGAGGACCATGCTTCCGACTCTCTGTAGAGTCACGGCTGGGTGATTTCTTCTTCCGCTCTGATTTACTTTGATTCCTGATTCGTTCTGAAATGGTGGATAATTGGATATCATAAAATAAACAATTGGATTTCTAGATGAAACTCTGTAAATATAAATTCAGCAATATTATTGTGTGCCCAAGGTTATGAATATTCATTGAAAACAAGAGTGCACACGTTGAAAGTGTCTCGCCTGCTTTACTGGTCACTATTTTTTTATGTTAAAAGTCTTAAAGATAAAGGTTTTAATACAAGTATCACATAAACTTAACATTTTTAAAGATCCATGACAATGAGGTCAAAGTCAAATAAATCCTGTTAGACAGACATGTTCACCTTACAATTATTTCATACACCAAATATAATTGACTTATTGCTGGTGGTATAAATTGAAAAACAGAACAAAACACAAAAAATTTAACATTGACCAATGAACCATGAAAATGAGGTCAAGGTAAGATGAAACCTGCCACACTGACATGTACTCCTTACAATCATTCCATACACCACATATAGTTGACCTACTGCTTATAGTATCTGAGAAACAGACTAAGTCATGTATCTTTAACCTTGATCACTTATCCATGAAATGAGGTCGAGCTCGGGTGAACCCTGTCTAACAGACATGTAGATGTTGCAAGGAACCCACCAAATATAGTTATCTCATTCCTCATAATAAGCGAGAAATTCACATGACAAAAAAACTATAACTTTTTTCAATCAGTCGCTGAACCATGAAAATTAGGTCAAGGACAATGGACATATGAGACTGAAACTACATAATATAAGGTATCTGCATACAAGGTATGAAACATCCAGGCCTTCTGAAATACCACTATAAAGCTTTATACAAACAGTTTACATCGCCGCCGTCGCTTGATAGTTATACCTATGTCTCACATAATGCAACAAAATTTGCAGGCAAGACAAAAATCTTTCAATCAAAAGCAGATTTTAACAATCAGCAAGGAGAGAAGATATATATTGATAATTAAACACAAAATTCTGGTGATTGCATTCATCTTTTTTTTTTATGAATCAGCTAAGTTGTACTGTACTTATATTCTGACGTTATCCATATTCTGACATTTTTAATTTACTATCTTAAAGGCCAGCAAATTTATGTGGTGGGACCTTTTCTAATACCTTTTTCTAATGTCTGCATGAATTCCTCATTCCCTCTGAGTTCCTGTAGAAATTCGCTGTTCTGTAACATAATGGCAAGTCTCTCGTCCTCTAAATATTGTGACATCTCAGGGTCTGCATTCATCACAGCTGTACGACGTCGTCTCTCATTCTCCTTCATTTTCTTATCCAGCATACCTTGCGTAAACTCATGTGAAGATATTATCTGAAAAATATTTGAATCTGAAGTTATGACACTTTAGGGCATTTTGCACTCAGTCTTGTTTTGCATTTTAGCTTTCTATTCTTTCATCAATTATGTCATATACAGATAATATGTAGGCTCACATTGAAACCTATAGGAAATCATTGATCATCTTTTCTGAAACTGTTTGGCAAATCTGAACCGAACTTGGAGGACTTTGACATTGAGATTCAAACCAACACGTCTACCATTTATTCTCTTCTGTGTCAGAGCGAATAAGGACCTTGTCCTGAATATGCATGTAGTTTTGTCAGTGGAAATATTAAGCAATTAACAATCAATTAAACAATGTATGTATTAAAACAGATACATGTATTCAATGGCAGATCACTCATAATTCACAAACAAGATATTTTCTACTGAATCTATTTTTGTATACTTCAGGTCAGTGTCCTAGCTAGCCCATATATCATGATATATGGGACACAGTTCACCTCTCCCCTTTCTGTGCACCCATCTGCCTTTCCAGTCCTCCCCTATGCATTTATGTTTTCTGAAGGAAGATATATACTTTACAAAGTAAAATAATCATTTTGACAATGGTAGAGGGAAAAAGCTTTTAACAACCTAACAAATACAGTAAATTATTGAGTTATTTAGAACATTGTAGGTGATCAAGTCTGATTCCTGTCACTTGTAAGGTAAAAGATCTCAGTGATATAGATTTAACATGTTGTATAAACTTACTAATGATTGACTGGTCAAAGGCATTCCTGTACTCCTAGTTCTAAGAAGCGGTTCAATAGGCGATCTCTCACTCATGCTCCGAGACAGTTTGGTCTGTCTTGTACTGTTATCTTCTGTAAGAACGCTTTGTGACAGTTTTTTCCTTTCACTACTTGACCTTGAACTAACATGCTTACTCCTTCTGTGGTGCACTCTAGGTTTTTCATTTAAGTCAATATTAGGGTCTAAAAATGACCTCGGTGTTTCAGAGGGTGGAATCAATCGTAAAAAGTCATCTGGCAAGTTACCCAGCATGGGTGGGTTCCAGTTACGGAAACCGGTTTTAACGGGTGTATTATGAGTAATCTGGGAAGACGGAGGTCGTTTAGGTTCAGTATTAGACAGAGACAGTTCATCAGTATCTGGGTCAAACAAACTCTTGCTACGTTGTGACCTGTGTGATTTTCTATGAGCTTTTGATGACATTGAATGAGACCGTGTCTTTGATGTGTTTTTGCTCTCCTGACTAGATATAGGTGTTGTCCAGATGTTTGTTGAAACAGCTTCAGTATAAGACGGAGGAGAATCTTCACTCCTGTGCTCATTATACAATGGGCAATCGTCTTCCACCTAAAAAGTACAATTAAAAAACTTGTTACGGTGGATCACTCAATATCAATAAAGAGCTGCGCCATGAGCGCATAATAAGCCGGTCGCTTTAACAAGAATAAAGTTCCATAACTCCTCAAAGTCATATCAGAAATTTATAAAACACTAAAGGGAGGTTATTCAAATAGATATAAACCAGTTACCAAAGTTTCATGAAAACTTCTCAAAGAACTTTTGAGTTCTTGTCTGAAAACTGGAAAAGCCCCCATTTTTAATGAATAAAACCCCATAACTCAGAAACGTAAAATCTAAAATTAATAAAAATCGAAAGGGATCTCACGTCAATAGATATAAACAATTCACCAAAGTCTCATGAAACTGCTCAAAGCATTTTTGAGTTATTGTCCGAAAACTGGAAAATCCCCCCTTTTTTAATGAATAAAACCCCATAACTCAGAAACATAAAATCTAAAATTTATAAAAATCCAAAGGGAGCTCAAATCAATAGATATAAACAATTCACCAAAGTTTCATGCAAATTGGTTAAAGCGTTTTTGAGTTATTGTATGATATGTTAACAATGGACGGACAAACAACGGTATACCATTATACATGTACGTCCCGTAAAGGGGCGTATAAAAACTGTGATGACTGAATCTCCTTGTGTGTAGTGTAGATGATTTGTACAGTACACACTCGGTGCTATATTAATACTCTGTCTTGGTAGTGAATCTTCGCTGTGAATGGTGACTGTAGGCATGGTGTGATTGACTCTGAAATACTCCACAGTTGTGCCTGTCAATATTTTATTGGTTTGTTCAACGTTAGGTGGTTGTCACTGATTCTTTATCATGTTAAATGTTTTTTTCTGTTTAAGTGTTATCATGGTTGTTGTCAGGTCATCCATCAGTTTTATTAAAATCTGGAGGGATATCTATTGGGGATTCCCTGCCTTCTGTAACTACACTACAACTTCCTTGCCTTCTGTATCTATACTTACTGGTGATATAAGATCTGGAGGGATCTCTATTGGGGATTCCTTGCCTTCTGTATCTATACTTACTGCTGATATAAGATCAGGAGGGATCTCTATTGGGGATTCCTTGCCTTCTGTATCTATACTTACTGGTGATATAAGATCAGGAGGGATCTCTATCTGGGATTCCTTGCCTTCTGTATCTATACTTACTGCTGATATAAGATCAGGAGGGATCTCTATTGGGGATTCCCTGCCTTCTGTAACTATACTTACTGCTGATATAAGATCAGAAGGGACCTCTATTGGGGATTCCCTGCCTTCTGTATCTATACTTACTGCTGATATAAGATCAGGAGGGATCTCTATTGGGGATTCCCTGCCTTCTGTAACTATACTTACTGCTGATATAAGATCAGGAGGGATCTCTATTGGGGATTCCTTGCCTTCTGTATCTATACTCATTGTTAACAACTGATCAATTGTTGAATCTACAGCACCATCGTTTGCCCTTAGTACTGCCTCAATAATCTCACAGTCCATTGTCGGGAACATTGTTTTGAAATCAGCCATTGCCTGATCAAAGTCCAACTGTTTGGTTGGTCGTGATTTTGTTTTACTTTTTTCTGTGTTGCTATGAGTGCGATGATGATGGTGATGGGGTCTATGACCGTCTACAGTAGTAACTGCTGTTTCTGTCATGTTGTTGGGTATAAATTCATTATCCGGTGGAGATGGTTGATTCCTACGGCTGCTACGTCTACTACTCGGCTTGTGTTGCTGAGCGTCTGCTGTTGCCATCTGAAGTCAGTTTATTCCTCTCCCTTTCTTTATCATATCATTACCTTAAGAAACCTACAAAAGTAAAAGAAGGAAAATCTTAAGGAATACATATATTTAATCACACAACGAAAAATAATCTGTACCATAAATTGATCACACAATTAAACAGGAATCTGTACCATAATATTAACACATGACCAAAACGGAATCTGTATCATAATTGATCAAATAATCAAAAAGCGAATATGTACCATACATTTGTACTGAATCACTTGATCAAAAGGGAATATGTACCATACAAGTGTACTTAAATCACATGACCCAAAAGGAATATGTACATGTACAATACATGTGTACTTAATCACATGATCAAAAAGATCACTCCTTCAATAAACTTCCAATTTCCTCAGTGAGATTTAATAATGCATACAGCATACATGTAAATGTAATGTATTTCAGTAGATATTATGAATTACATTTACATTTAACTTGTTATAATATTATTTTTGAATGATTGATTTTTGCTTACTTTCGCTTCAACATGTTTATCATGGCAAGCTATAATTACCTCATGTTTTATCATGGCATAGTTTATCATTAATAAGTTCATGTTAATTGTTTGATTCTAAATTTCTTTTGAAAAAAAAATGTTTCAGACAAGTCAGAAGAGAAGTGGAAAAAAATATTGATTAAAAAAATAATCTTATTCCTGTATGTTATTTTTTTTTTATTAAAGTGGAAAAATTTGTTATCCCTAGAGAAAATAATCAAGACAAATGGTTGGTGCCTTACTTATCTATCTTCCATAACCTTATTTCCAAATGAGCTTTGCCTCTCCCAAATAACTGAGTGATAAAACTTACAATACTAAATGTAACTCCAAAATCCTACAAGTACTTATATTGACAATGAACATAGAACATTGACCTTTCCATCAAGGAAATTTTTCATTCAGTAGGTATACTATGTACATTTGTATGAGGGTAGGTATGGCGTTTATAGACAGGTATCACTTTTCTCTACCTGTAGGGTCAAATGAGACTTCAAATTTAATCACCATTGTCACATCATATTTTTCAGCCACAGTTTGTGTCTCATGGAGAAAATGCTTATTGTTAATGTTATTTTAATAAAAAGTTTACTGTAATTGTCATGTAGGGTACCCCATTTCTACCCTCAGATATATGAATGGAAAGATTCATGAATCATAAAATTTTCTTCCTGTCAAAATATTTAAATCTAGGATGGAAGGAAGATATTTAAGTGTCACAACTACTTTTTACCATTGATTACAATGATGACTGCACTTGTTGTTCCTAAGTACTTCATATTAGTCTAATTTCATTGGTTTTATTTCTGTATAATTCCAATGTTATATAATAAGTATTTTTCCATTGGTGAATGTCAAGGTAACCAAAATGTTTGTACATATATAAACTGGTTTAGCATGAATTCCTAGACAAGCTAAATATATAGATCTTTAAGTACTGATTGAGTTTTTGATCAGGACATATTTTTTAATGCATTTTAAGTGAATTTTCAGAAATAAATGTTACTTTTACAGAGGTTATTGATGTTTAACTATGTCTTTCACTCTAAATGTGATTCAGTTACCTAAACTCTACTCTCATAAAAGGGAGTCGGGGTTGAGACCTCAAATTGGTTGTTTTTCTTGTCTATCATGTCTATTAAAAAATTAATAAAAGAACAGAGTTCCAATATCCCCTGTGCTGCACATATTTTATATTTCCAAGGGGCATAACTCTTTTAAAAAAAAGTCGATCAGCCACCATTATAGAACTTGTCCGAGATATTGCTGATATTAACCTATAGTATAAGTTTTATAAAAATCTGGCAAGAACTGTTCCTGTGAGAGCGCTAACGAAACCATTTTCCATAAATCTAATATTTCCAAGGGACATAACTCTTTTAAAAAAAGTCGATCATCCACCATTATAAAATTTGTTCGAGATATTGCTGATATTTATCTACATGTATAGTACAAGTTTTATAAAAATCTGGCAAGAATTGTACCTGAGAGAGCGCTAACAAGACTGGATGGACGGACACCCGGTATTTCCATGTCCCCCGCAACTCATTATGCGGGGGACAAAAATGTATAAAGGGGATATTATAAATTATCAATGAGAGGCAGCAATAATACAACACAATAGAACCAAAACAAGAGGCTCTTGACAGCCTGAATAGTTCATCTGGTAGATTTACACCTCCATTGACCTACAGAAAGGAAACTTCTGACAAATTTTGCTTTGAATGGTTTAGTTTTTATCATTCCAATACAGTTCTTTAACAGTTCAATTCTTCTTGTAGTTTCAGGAAGATTTTGAAATAGAGCGACAAGGATAAAAGACTGCCAATGGTAGTGCCAGTCATGTTTCCTTCCTATGAAAACCAAATTAGAATGGTTATGAAAAATGTTGATGACCAATATCACATGTAAAATTGAGAATAGAATTACCATGGTAAATACTGGCCTCGAGCATTAGACCAGCTGCTAATTCCAAAAGTTTTTTACTTTATTTTTTTTCATGGTATGGTGAATGCCACTTATTTTTGTTGTACAATAAGAACAATATTTCAGGGGCTGCACTGGCTCCAAAAAAGTTGGAGCCAGAAATAGCGTGAGCTGTTATATTTTAATGCCAATTTCGAAAACTTTGAGTCAACTTTAGAGTAAGCTAGATTCTTTATTTTCCTCATTCCAAATCGAAACCATGATTACTTTAAATTCTTATGCACTGTACATCATTTAACTTTTAAGTGATGATTTTTCATGTTATGTATTGCCAGGTTGTTTGATGTTTTTTCTTCCTTTCTGTGAAAAAAAAACTGAACATGTTCACTGACACAGTTGTTTGCAGTTGTGGAACTAAAGCCAAATGCAGATAACTTTGTTAACTTTAACTGAGGTGAATTTTGAAAATTGTATTTTTCGCTTCCTTATTTATTCAGTTTTGAGGAGAAACCATTCTTTCTTGGCACAGTACAGAGAATTTTGGTTATTTGCACACCTAATTTGTCAAAGAAGATTATGCAGCTAATATATATCAGAAATTTGAAATTCCAAATAAAAGATGGAGAGCTGTGATCGATAAGTTCAGTGCTGAATTAAATAAAATATAGTTGTCTCATTTAATTCTGTTTTAAATTCATTCATTGAAGATAATAAACATATAATAAACATATGTTTGGTCTGTTTGTTGTTTTATACCAGCGCTTCCTTTACCTATATTTGTACATGACATAAGAAATGAAAAATAGAACCAGTTGATCTATAATTAAACTTGTTTTCCTTGACCCTTATGTTAAATGAAACATCAGACTGTACCAGTTGATCTATAAATAGATTTGTTTTCCTTGACCAGTATGTTAAATGAAACAACAGACAGTATTGTTTTTAAAGCTGTAAATGTTCAGTATTGCTTACAATCTTTTATTATAAAAGTGTACATCTGTGCCTTTACATGTACATGCATTTTTTTGTTCACTTCATCAAATGTGACTGATATGGCTAAAGTCATGAACGCCAAAGAATAGCAGAAAATTAAATTTTGAATGTTTAACTTCATCATGATAACATCTTTACTGATATTCAGTGTATAAATTTAACAAATAAATATCATGTTCAGGAGGGGTACATGTATATGACTATATGGGGAATTGTACATGCAGTATATACCGCTTGCACTATGTGTTTCATTAACCTAAATTGACTAACAGGTCGAACAACGGATGTTCTTAAACCCTGCTGACTGCCATTGGCAATTGCCAAATAAAGGGATCACAAGATGTAACAAAATGGATCTTTATTATAATTTAATACCAAACAGAAAACAATGAACTTGCGGAAAAGATGGTATACCACAAACAAGAGGTGTTTCCAAATATAAACAGTAGTTAAGGGGCCCTTTACTGTAATTGTCCTTTGATTTTCGTTGTCTATAAATAGAGTCCCTAGTGCTGACTTTTGCCGCCGACAGTGTATAACTTGCGCACAGTTTGATCATACACCTTCCAAATTAATTTCTTTATATTCTATGCATATAACAGTAAGTAGGAAGGTGAAATTACATGTGTAAACAATTTGGAGCAATTTTTACATGTAGGTAAAGTAGTGATCTGGTCCAGTTTGAAAAGGTCAAAAATTAGTATGTCTAGATCTGAGGCTGTCAAACTGTATCATAACACCCCATCTACATAAAATTGTCTTAAATTTGAGTGACAGTCTAAAGACTTTTCTATAATTTTGATAAAATTTGTCCCAATATTAATACACTACACTTTTTTAAATTTGCGTTTTCTGTCTTAAATAAATGCACTAAGGTATAACTGTTTTCTCAGACCAGTGTTTGTTATACATGTTATATGTCTAATTTGTTTTACTCACATCATTCTGTCGGGCTGTTCAATATAGTTTTTATAAGAATTCTTCAACTGCTTTATAAATAGTTCATTTCGGGGCCTTTTATAGCTGACTATGCGGTGTGGGCTTTGCTCATTGTTGAAGGCCATTCTGTGACCTATAGTTGTTAATTTCTGTGTCATTTGGTCTCTTGTGGAGAGTTGTCTCATTTGAAAACATACCACATTTTCTTATTTTTATCGTTACAGTTTTTCTTTGAGTGTTGTACGTGAGAAAAGATACGAATTAGAATTAATTTATTATTTCATCATTAACAAAAATAAAACGTTTAATGCATAAAAGTCTTATAATTATACATGTATATCTACTGTCATGTCATACAAACAATCAACCCAACTGAATTACAAGTGTAGACCATCAAAAGGTATTTCAATGGTATTCTAAAGTTAAACAGCAGGTATATTGTTTTAAAATTTCATGCAGAAAGTAATCTATGTACAATGTTGGAATTTCAATTGATAATTGACACTTTTCGAGAGAGCATTGTTTTGTTTTTACATAAATTACCTGTTTTGGCATATTGATGAGTCTTTAAATAGCATACATGTATAAAACGACTTTCAAATAAATTTTATTAATTTACAAATTCCTGTTAACCATAGCTCATTACCATGATTATTTTTAATGTAACCTTCTAGTCATCACTGGATATAAATAGATATTGTCATAATTGATAATTACGATTTCACACTATCACCCTTGTTTATCTGTTTACCTGTATTTGAGATTATAAACATGTGCTAGCATACAATAAATTTATCTGTAAATACCCTGATATCTATTATCGTTACAATCGAGAAATGAAAATTTTGAAATTGGAAGTAAAAAAATTGCAATTTCAACATTGACACAGCCCAGCCCCTGAGGCTAAATTTAAATACGCTTTTATTTTTAAAAGACACTGAATAATTTTTTAATGTTTTTTAAAAGGAAAAACATATAATTTAAAATGAGTTCAGAATACAAAATCACGTTCACTCTAAATTTTGATTCCTTTGAAAGCTCTCATGATGAAAGAAAAGAGCCTTTATACATGTTCCACAATGATCATGATATACATGTCAACATCAAAATCAGGTGCAGATCCAAAATTTGGAAAAGGGGGTTTGGGGCCCCTGACAAGCCAACGTTTGAAATGATACTGGAGCCCCCCTTAAATCTGCCTCTGAAAATGATGAAAAATATGTACTTTTACAAATTGTGACTTGGACGGAGAGTTGTCTCATTGGCACTCATACCACATCTTCTTATATCTACAATGTATGCATCAGTCTTCACGATAAACTTTGAATCTACAGGCCAAAACTGGCAAAAGCAGAATTTTACGAAATTTTTAGTTAGATTCTATCATGTGACTTTTTGTCTATTGACCTGTAGAGATGATTTTAACAAGCCTGGGCTGGTGAGCCTGCGGTTGATAGCTATAGTACAGACTGATGTATGTACATGTATTAAATCTTTCGAATCATGGCACCAAAATTAATATAAGAGTATTTCTATGCTCACTGACTGGCATGACTCGAAGGATGCTGTGTATAAATTTAAAATGTAATCAATTTGACCTGCATATATGTGGAAAATGTCATTTAAACACAATTAATTACATTGCAAAATTAAATTTTGATACACATAAAAAATAAGAGATAAAAACCTACCTCGTATCTGCATATAATTTATAAATAAAACTGACATTTGCAAACGTCATTCATACTTTAAAATGTGGCAATTCTTTCAGCATTGATTTAAACAGTGATATAAAAGAAGGAATTAACTATTATAGCGAAAATGTAACACATAACAAACATCAAAGAAATATTTCGAAAGTGTGTCAAGATGAAGGATGGGCTTTTCCAATTATACTTCTGTATAAAATTAACCTAAATTATCCTCAGTTTTTATCTTACTTTGAGTTCACATCTTATTCCAAAATAATGTTGAAATAGTCATTTTTTAATCGTCTGTAGCAATAGTAAGCTTTTAAGTATTTTTCAACCACCTGCTGCGGTCAAGCAACCGGAAGTCCACTTGTAAACACAAGATTGTACTGACTCACCTAAGTGTTTAATGCAGTGCAATTTTACTATAAATCACACGTTGTTAATACATACATTGATTCGATGTTTTCATCATGGCTGGGTCAAGAATTGATAAATTTTCAAATATATTTGCAAGGTTCTCTATTTATAATTATATACTGACAGTTCTCATAAGACTACAAAGATGATGAAAAAGACTTGAATAAATATTTGTTTGCCAATAGCACTAGCAGGGTGCGAATGATGTCATTGATGAGCAGAATAATCACAATCATGATTATCAAAGATGATAAAATAATTTTTAGTTTTACAGAATAGTATATCACTATATAGAAAGAAATATAAAAACTCCTTACTTTTGTAATTGCATCTTTACCCCCGTTATTTAGAAATAATACATGTTCTTTTGTATATGTGTTGAACTACTACTACCAATGACCAGTCAGGGGGTCTTATTGAAATAAGTGATTTTTAAAGGCAGTGCTTTAATGCCTTTCTAGTTGCCGTGTTAATATTTCTTTCCGCAATATCCATCTTATCTACGTGGGGGGGTCATTAGGCTCCAAGTAGATCCGGAAAATGTTGATTCTCTCCTTTTCTTATTGTGGTATAAAATGTTTTTTGTCTCATTTCATTTACATTGGGAAATAGAGAAACGATCATTGTGTTTTGTTAGTTTTAAAAACTTTTGATATATTTGTATTTTACATTATAAGCAGTCAACCGATTGACAAACTAGAATTATTTGAATTCCATGTGGAAAGAGGTCGGGTTAATTTCGAGTGTTATCTGCAATCTAGATGTTTATAAATCATTTCAGTCATTGATATAATAATTAAAGGTCGACTGAACATGAATTATATTATACAATTTAAAGCGCATTTCTGTTTATGCACGCGAACCCGTCTAACATTATTGTTATTTCGCAGTTATATAAAGAAGCAAATTATCGTTCCTGAATAGGTGGCGCCGTGGTAGCCGATCCTGTACTTCATCTTCCGGTTTCTGCACTGTGCAACTACAGTTGCATTTTTAATTAACGATGCCAAGTACTTGTTGTTGTGTACCTGGATGTCATTTAAGAGGAGGACATGCATTTCCAAATGACTTAAAAAGAAGGAAAAGTTGGATCAACGCCATGGCCCATACGCAGATTGGACGAGAACACGATGAAATCGTGGAGTCCATCTCAATCAGCTGTTGTTTGCAAGGCACATTTTACTGAAAAAGACTATGTGCAGGAAACTATTCATGGTAAAACTCTATTTTCTTTTTAAAATATATAGTTATATATGTAATCGCCATGCTAATAAACCAAAGTCTGTTTACAACCGCAATTATCGTTTTAGAATATTATAAAAGGGGGTGGTTAATTCAAGACGTCATAATTTTTTGGATTACGATTCAATGTGATCTGTTTGAGATTTTTTGGTGCTTGCTACAATTATAATGATTTCTTACAAGAGGTATATCATACTGAGAATTATTTTAGCAGTAATTATGCTAATGTAGTAATGACAGGAATGCATAAGCTATGCCTCATAGACTTTCTTGAAAAATATCAATGACAATGTTAACAGGAACAAAACAATGACATGCTCTCATCTATATTATAGTTATTTAGGTACAAACAATGTATGTTTGTTGCATACGTCTCTCATTGTTTGTCCTTTGGATTTACATAACATACATTTTGATGTACATTGAATCAGGCTAACATAGTTTTATCCAGATTGTAATGAATAAATCTAGTTAATATTTTGCCAGGTAGTACAAAGGAATTATAGTTATCTCGTACCATTGTAAACTCGTACCAATGTCAACTCGTACCACTAAACAAAAACTCGTACCAAATCAAACTCGTACCACTGCTAACTCGTACCACGGTAAATTCATACCATTGTAAACTCGTACCAACTTATTTAAATGCATTCAAATGGTGTTTAATGATGAATATATACTTTAATTTCACTCAATACCTCTTAAGTCTGTAAAATGTATATAATTTGAAATTACAATAACCAATTTGTAGCTAATTTTCCTTGTCTAATTGGATAGAGAAAACCGTGGCAGATTGGCTTTGTTGTCTCCCTTGAATAGACTCTTTTTTAAACTTTTACTGACAACTATTTGATTTAATTTTTAATCATTCCAAATCAGTAACATTGAATAGATTTGGGTATTTTTCTATTGTTTCTAAAAGGAATTTTATTTAATGAAAGAATTTATTGATTGTGTTTTAAAGGTTTAAAATTGTTTATGACCAACAGTTAGAAAGTATGAAATTTATTTTTATACAATATTCAGCACATTTCAGCAGAATATGACCATGCTTATATGATTATACAAGTTGATTAGTTAAAGATAAAAAAAAACAAGTTGATTAGTTAATAATCACACAATCAAAGAAATTTAATATATTTATTAGCATGGTAATTAAGAAATTACATTTGTATTTTTGTCTAAGTTTTCATTAAAATCTGGTATAAATTTCAAAGATATTTTAATTTTTTGTATAAAGCTTAAAAAAAAATAATCATAAAACATTTGTATTTTTGTTTAAGTTTTCATTAAAATCTAGTATAAAATTCAAGTAATTCAACTTTTTTTATTTAGTTTACCAAAAAAAAAATCATAAAACATTCGTATTTTTGAATATATTTTTAATGGTATGAGTTTGCAGTGGTACGAGTTCTGATTGGTACGACTTCCCAGTGGTACGAGTTTACGTTGGTACGAGTTAACTTTTTTGGTACAAGTTTACGTGGTACGAGTTAACTTGCTTCCGTACAAAGTATGCATTGCTAATGGAAGTTCATTTAATTATCAAAAAACTAATGTTTTATAACCTTTTTCAGGGCACAAACCCACCATACAGAGACTTAAGTCTACTGCCAATCCCAGCCTATTTTCCTGGACCAAGTAAGAGACTGAATCGTCCGCAAAAAGAAAAATCAGGGCAGTTTCCTGTGAAAACAAAAGAACTAAACTTGATGAATATTGTAGTAGAAATCTAGAGGAAAGTTTTGATTGTAAAGTTGGTTTTCCTGAAGAAGTAATTCATACTGCAGACAGGATTTATGACTGTCCACCACCGACTGCCGAGCTAATGTTGAGCTTCACAGATGGAATTACACAAACACCATCAATGCCTATATTTTCAGCAGAGAATTTTGAAATGAAGACACGTGACACAGCCATGCATTTTTATACCGGTTTAGAGTTGTAGAGTTGTATACTAAATTTTTATTTGTTTTGACCACACTTGGTCCAACAGCACATTGTTTGAGATGCATATATTTTCAAATTGATAGGGTGTCATTTGAAAATCAGTTTTTTTATGACTTTGATGAAATTGATGCATTATACAACCAACTTTGAACTGTCTAGATTCTAGATTGAAACTAGTGTTAAGAATATTGTGTAAACATGGATTGTTTTTATGTCTAAACAGTGGCGTGAGGCTAACACTTGGCCATTTAGTGGTTTAGTCAGGTATTTTTCGCCATCCAACTTCAAATTAAAGTTTCCTACAACTTGGATTATTATTGACAGCACAGAATATCCCGTGATAAAACCTAAAGCTCCTTGAGCTCAGGCAACCTTTTCATCATATAAAAACAGAAACACTGAAAATACTTGTATGTTCGACACCTGGTGGTTTAGTCAACTATGTCTCTAATGCATATGTTGGTTGTACCAGTGACTGTGAAATAGTTGAAAGATGTAGAATAGTTCAATTATGTGATCCAGGTGACAGTGTGATGGCAGACAAAGGTTTAAATGTGCAAGATTTGTTTGCTCACTTTTTTCAAAAAAAGAAACAGAATTAGTTCCAAAACTCTTATACGGGATAGAAAAGTCTCCAATTAACACGTGCACATAGAGCTATTTATTGGACTTGGCAAAACATACAAAATTCTAATAAATCCTATGAATGGAACTGAAACAAAACTTTCATCTGAAATAACATTTAGTTGTTTTATGTTGTGTAATTTTAGAACTTGTATTGTGCCAAAGGATGCATAAATAAAAGTGACGCAATGAAGTTTGTTCTGATATATATATATAAATATTATTTACAATTACATGCACATGTAAATTGTAATGCATATAAAAATAAGGAGATGTGGTATGATATTCAGTGAGTTTATCGAACCAAAGTGCATAAGAAATGGGTTAAGCAGTTACAGGTGTTACTGTCACCATACAATCTCCAACAATTAGAAAAACTTGTACCGTGTAAAAAATTTCAGAGATCTTACAACTAAGTTTTGTTGTCTCACCTTGACTTTGGTGAATTGTTTATATCTGTTGATGTAAATATAAAAAAGAAGATGTGGTATGATTGCCAATGAGACAACTCTCCACAAGAGACCAAATGACACAGAAATTAACAGCTATAGGTCACAGTACGGCCTTCAACAATGAGCAAAGCACATACCGCACAGTGAGCTATAAAAGGCCCCGAAATGACAATGTAAAACAATTCAAACAAGAAAACTAACGGTCTAATTTATGTACAAAAAATGAACGAATAACAAATATGCAACACATAAACAAACGACAACCACTGAATTACAGGCTCCTGACTTGGGACAGGCACATACATGTACATACAGAATGTGGCGGGGTTAAACATGTTCGCGGGATCCAAACCCACCCCTAACCTGGGACAGTGGTGTAACAGTACAATATAAGAGCGAACTATAAAAATCAGTTGAAAGAGGCTTAACTCATCAGATGGATAAATACAAATACAAGTGGACGTGGCCGGGTAGTTGTACATCCAAACAACAAAAAGACACTAAGTACAGATCTGAGAGTACTCGCATTTACTGACAGCTAGTTCAAAGCCACAAACAACTGATAAAAAAATCTTGCAATTAAGACTTAATTATCAACCCGTAAGCTCCCTTTAGAATTTTATAAATTTTAGATTTTAAATTTCTGAGTTATGGGGTTTTATTCATTAAAAAAGGGGGGATTTTTCAGTTTTTGGACAACAACTCAAAAATGCTTTAAGCAGTTCGCATGAAACTTTGGTGAATTATTTATAGCTATTGATGTAATCTCCCTATTGATTTTCATAAATTTCAAATATGACATTGAGAAGAAATTGAACTTTATTTGTTTATAGTCTGGCAACAGATTTATTAAGTATTGCGCAACAGCACAGTGTATTGCACAACAGCAAGAAATCTTTAATTGAATATAAATTCAATTCATATAACCGATTTCAAGTTCTTTGACTACATTTATTCAGAAACTATAATATGTCAAATATTTAATTACAATCCAAATTCAGACCTGTATCAAGCTTGAATATTGTGTCCATTTTTGCCCCAACTGTTCAGGGTTGGACCTCTGTGGGTGTATCCAGCTGCGCTCAGCGAATCAGTTTATTACTTAATTAAGAACTCCTTTTTGTCGAGCATGCGACTTTTGTCGCAGAAAGCTCGACATAGGGATAGTGATCCGGCAGCGGCGTTAGCTAACTTCTTAAAAGCTTTATATTTTAGAAGGTGGAAGGTCTGGATGCTTCATACTTTGTATATGGATGCCTCGTGTTACGAAGTTTCCGTCAGTCACATGTCCAATGTCCTTGACCTCATTTTCATGGTTCAGTGACTACTTGAAAAAAAAGTTAAGATTTTTTGTAATGTTAAATTCTCTCTTATTATAAGTAATAGGATAACTATATTTGGTATGTGCATACCTTGCAAGGTCCTCATGCCCGTCAGACAGTTTTCACTTGACCTCGACCTCATTTCATGGATCAGTGAACAAGGTTAAGTTTTGGTGGTCAAGTCCATATCTCAGATACTATTAGCAATAGGTCTAGTATATTCGGTGTATGGAAGGACTGTAAGGTGTCATCTGATCTTGACCTCATTTTCATGGTTCAGTGGTTATAGTTAAGTTTTTGTGTTTTGGTCTGTTTTTCTTATACTGTATGCAATAGGTCTACTATATTTGGTGTATGGAATGATTGTAAGGTGTACATGTCTAGCTGGCAGGTGTCATCTGACCTTGACCTCATTTTCACTTTTCAGTGGTCAAAGTTAAGTTTTTGAGTTTTGGTCTTTTTTTCTAATACTATATGCAATAGTTCAACTATATTTGGTGTATATAAATATTTTATGATCTATATGTCAGTCACGCAGGTTTTTTTTTACCTTGACCTCATTTTCAAGGTTCATTGCTCAGTTTTAAGTTTTTTTATTTTGGTCTGTTTTTCTTAAACTATAAGCAATAGGTCAACTATATTTGTTGTATGGAAGAATTGTTAGCTGTACATGCCTGCCTAGCATGGTTCATCTGACCTTGACCTCATTTTCTTGGTTCATTGGTCAATGTTTAGTTTACTTGGTTCATTGGTCAATGTTTAGTTTACTTGGTTAATGTTAAGTTTATGTGACAGTTGTAATAAAGCTTTATATTGAGGACTATCAACATAATATCAATGATTAGTAAAGAAGGCGAGACATTTCAGTGTGTGCACTCTTGTTTCATTCATAAATTACTTTATACTTGGAAATATAATTTTGCTTCGAGTTATAGTTTCTAAAAAAAGTATTGTCTTTGAAAGAGTTGACATGTTGCAATGTACATTTATTCTACATAGTTCTATGGTACCAAATCAAAAGTTTATATTAAAGAAAGAAGTCAAAGGTTTCCCATCATAGTTTAGTTACATACATTTTTTTTGTACCTGAGGTCGATGAATATAGATCATTATATAAATAAGGAGATGTGTTATGATTGCCAATGAAACAACTATCATCCATACATTGTACTTACCAGTAACAAACCACATTTGCAAAGTTGAATAAAATACAGTTGATAACATTTACTTATTACTAAAAAAAATGCCAAACTATTTTAAACAGTATTTGACTATAAACATAGATAAAAAAGGTACAAACTGGACATAATGCACTAGTTCATAAACAAGTGAGAACAATCGCCTTCATATAGTGCTCAGAATATGACATTCATAAAACTTTTTCAATATCATTAGAGAACTCTAAATCTTAAATACTGAAAGCCACCTCTGATAAGTACAATGTACTATGCAAGATAATGATATAACTGGACTAAAAATACACACAACCTGTAATTAACTGCCTTTACAGCGCTTTCGCGCTTTGATTAAATCACTTATTTAAGTAGCAAATTCGAAGTTTTGTCACAAATTGTGATTTTGTTGTTTTACCAAAATTTTAAACACATAGGTTTAGATAATATCTTTTCATTAGTAAAATTGAAAAAATGAACTTTTTGCTTCTTTTAAGCAGCAAGGTTTCTGCCTTCGATGCAATCATTTAACTGCAAATTCTATTTTAGTTGAAAAAATGCTATAAAAATGGCTTTACATAATGAACTGATACTTTCTTAACAGATTTTTCCCAGCAGTGGGAGTATTTTTCCTGTAAAATTCAAGGTTTCATCTTATAGATTATGTAATAAAATTCTACTGTTCGCGATCACAATTTCACTGTTCGGGGGTGTTGAAATTAGTGGGGGTTATTAAAATAATGATACTTAAAGAAGTGATTTTTTGGAAGGAAATTGAGGTATGATACTTAAACAAGTGATTTTTATGTCATTATCCTAGATTTAGTACAAGGTCATCACCTGACATGACCCGGTCATCCTATCAACACAGATGTTGGTTCTGATAATTTTAGCAACATAATTAGTCCCTGGATCATTAGTATTCTATATTTAAAGCTACAATAAAATTAAATCACTTAGTCTAGTGATTAATTTGTACTACTTAAATAGGTGATTATTAAAGAAAGACAACTCTTACTTCCAACCTTTATGGACATAATGTTACTTGAATCAGTGATTTAGAAAATCACTCATTTAAGTAAGTCCCCTGACTGATGACTAGGGCAACGTTTAATCATTGTTAATGACCTTGATTACAAAAGTCGCTATGGAACCGTTTCTGCCATACAGGTGCCTTGGTTGTCTCAGACCCACATCAAATGTGACATAGGACGACTAAATAGACTTTTGTTTCTTTTCAAAAAGCAGGAACAATGACATATAAAATGCAGATGAGCTCTCCTTGCGCTTTATTAAACCACCCTAACAATTAATTAAATAATTGAATAAGAAATAACGAACCAGATTTGTGTCTTAGTAATAAATTGAAATGTTTCAGTGATTTAAGCAATTAACCAGTTGACATGTTATTCATATATTTGTTTATTGTCCTTTTGAGGTTTTCCTATATACATGATATATTCAGACTCTGACAGAGAAAATTATTTTATGATTTTAATTTTATAGATATATATATATAAGCATTAGGAGAAAATAAAAGTTACAGTTATGTTAAAAAAATACACATGATGTATTTTTAACATATACAATACTTTTAACATGTTTAAACTGTTGAAATATAACCATATTTTTTAAATTATATAAATCAACTTGATGCTGACTTACTTATCTGTTAATTCAAAAATTATTGCATGCATTTATTATTGCGAATATTTGAAGAATGGACAAAAATGCAAGATTGATGATTGTGATTTTAGGAAAATCGGCACACAGATGTAAGAATGCCAGTTCTTAATGTTGTGGTACTGACCCAGTCTCATTATTTGCGTTTATAAAAACCTCGCAATAATATCTAAATTTACAGTTTACTTTTGACCTAATCGTATACACTGATGACCTAATCTAATACATCTTTAACCTCATCTTACACACCATGTACACCTTTGACCTCATGTTGCTCCTACCTGATGATAGAGGCAAAGATACCAAAGGGATATTCAAACTCATAAGTCAAAAATAAACTGACAATACAATGGCAAATAAAACCGAAAAACGACGGAAAGAAAAACAACAGTACACAAAATACAACATAGAAAACAAAAGACTTAGCAACACAAACTCAACCAAAAACTGGGGGTGATCTCAAGTGCTTGGGAGGGGTAAGCAGATGCTGCTCCACTAGTGGCTTCGGTCAAAAGTACAAACCCAGTGACAAGTAATTAGTTCTGCCTACCCTAATACACCTTTGACCTCCTTTTACTCCTACTTGATTATAGTAATTAGTTCTGTCCCCATGTAATACACTTTTGTACTTTTTATCTAAGCCAATGAATTTTCGTTTGTGAGATTATGTCTTAAACATGTTAAATGGAATACTTTGAATATTTTGCATTAAAACAGAAATATTGGTACATGTTATTTGTACATGTAACTGTATATTTGAAGCTTGTCTCTGTAAAATTTAGTTTGTTTGTCACAAATATTAGCTTAGGTAGACTCTTGATAGCAACAATAAAACCAACATTTTGCAAAATCCAAGCTTAGAATACAATACAGTTATCTGATAGATTGTCAGATCCTTGTAAGGGTTATGACATAGGGTCACCATTGTTTTTTTTAAAGAAAATAAAACTTTTAAATACAGAAAAAAAATTAAGCATCCTACTGAAAACTGTTTTTTTTCAACCCCAAAATATTATAAAGTTATCCAATCATTTAGATATTTTATCTATATGTAAACAAACATTATTAAGTTGTCCCTTTTCAGACAAGCAATCACAGTTACATGCCCTTCATCTTAAAACAGTCCAAACCTATATAGAGCTATACTAAACTAACCCTAGTGTTCAAACTACCTGCCCTAAGCCATACCTAACATAATAACACTACTGTAAATTCAGAAATTATTGCGTGCATTTATTATTGCGATTTCAGGAAAATCTGCTTACACCATGTACACTTATATGTGTCAGATATCAGAATGCAAGTTCTTATTATTGCGATTATCACCCAATCGCATTATTCGCAATAATAAAAATCTCGCAATAATATCTGAATTTACAGTAACCCTTAAAACCTAGCCGAAAAAACTAGAAACAACATATCATCCTACTCTGACCCACATTTTTAATGAACCCTATCCCTAAAGTACAGGGACAGCTGAAATGAAAGAAGGCTGTACTATAGGTAACCTAGTTTTATTATTATTTACAGAGTGGAAGGAATGATACGATCGGGAGCTTTGAAATATGAAGACAAACCAATCTGGTTTAATGTATACAAAGTATTTCCACCAAAAGTAAATCCAACTTATACAAGGAAACCATCAGAAAATCAACAAGTAGTTAATATACTCTACCCAGAAGATCTAGTCAGAGCGTAAGTTACTTATACAGATGGTAATAATATACTTATCTAAAGCATTAATAACATTAAAGGTACTGCACATTTCGACACCCAATGTCTCTTCAGTGATGCTCAAGGTCCAAAAATTTGAAAGTCCAAAATTTAATGCAAAGAGGTGATCAAATCAAAAACAGAAAAAGCCTAACCGGGAAATGGAATCAGAGCTTTGAGTGATATTTACCGAAATAACAAGACAGAATGTTTATATTCAAAGATCTAGTCATAAGTTCTCATAGTATCCCAATACATGTATAAAAAGGAACATACTAACTCCAATCTCTCTAAAACATAGACGTACAAACAACTCAGAAAACTTGGCTGCCATTGATGGTCATTTTTCAAGCTCTACATCTGAAACTACAAAATTACATCTGTAATGATGAACCTTTACATGGGTTAACCACAAGTATGCAACAAGTTTCCATTGAAAATTATGGGAAATCACATTTAAAATTTTTTTTTCAAAACTAAATTTGCTGGCAATATATTGAAAATCAGTTGCTAAAATATTTCCTTTTTTACATATCAGAGGGAAAACATGCTGCCATCAAATAGAAATTGGTCTCTTTTCATTATTCATTTAGCGTTTATATAAACTATGATTTGTGTCTAACTGAAGAAAAATTACAACTGAAGTTCTGAAGAAAAAAATACAGTGCGTCACCCTCTCTTGCACATCATTATGACTGTTTAAAAATTTCACTCACAGGATTGGAAGTATCTTCTATGATTTTCTATTATTTTGGATGAATATAAGTAATTTTATTTTTCAGGAAATATTATGCAGTATATGGCAGTAAAAAATCACAAGAAGTAGTAGACTTAACAGAAAAAGAAACACCCACCCAGTGTCAAAGGTCAGTTCTTGTATACTTCAGTAGGGATCATCTGAAAATCTCATGGAGTAATCAAATCTCAAGAAGTAAATAAGTCTCAAAAAGTAATCAGATCTCATGAAATAATAAAATATCAAGAAGTAATCACTCATGAAGTAATTATATCTCATGGAGTAATCAGATCTCAAGAAGTAATTAAATCTCAAGAAGAAATCAAGTCTCAAGAAGTAAATAAATCTCAAGAAGTAATCAAATCTCAAGAAGTAATTAAATTAATCAAATTTCATGAAGTAATAAAATCTCAAAAAGTAATCAAATCTCAAGAAGTAATTAAATCTCAAGAAGAAATCAAATCTCAAGAAGTAAATAAATCTCAAGAAGTAATTAAATTAATCAAATTTCATGAAGTAATCAAATCTCAAAAAGTAATCAAATCTCAAGAAGTAATCAAATCTCAAGAAGTAAATAAATCTCAAGAAGTAATCAAATATCATGAAGTAATTAAATCTCAAGAAGAAATCAAATCTCAAGAAGTAAATAAATCTCAAGAAGTAATCAAATCTCAAGAAGTAATTAAATTAATCAAATTTCATGAAGTAATAAAATCTCAAAAAGTAATCAAATCTCAAGAAGTAATTAAATCTCAAGAAGAAATCAAATCTCAAGAAGTAATTAAATTAATCAAATTTCATGAAGTAATCAAATCTCAAAAAGTAATCAAATCTCAAGAAGTAATCAAATCTCAAGAAGTAAATAAATCTCAAGAAGTAATCAAATATCAAGAAGTTAATCAAATCTCTAGAAGCAATCAAATCTCAAGAAGTAAATAAATCTCAAGAAGAAATCAAATATCAAGAAGTTAATCAAATCAATAGAAGTAATCAAATCTTAAGAAGTAATCAAATATAATGAAATAATCAAATCTCAAGAAGTTATCAAATTAATACCTCTGTGTAATTCGTGTCATAAATTCATCAGGTAGGTACTGTAAATTCAGAAATTATTGTGAGGTTTTTATTAATGTGAATAATGAGACTAGGTGATGATCGCAATAACAAGAACTGGCATTCTGATATATGGTACATATATCTGTATTCAGATTATCCTAAACTCGCAATATTTAATCTCACATTTCTGTCCATTCTTCAAAAATAGCAATAATAAATGCACGCAATAATTTCTGAATCTACAACTTAATAGTTTTAAAAATTAGTGAAAAAAATGTGAAAAAATACAAAGGAGGAAATAAAAAAGCCATAAGGGAGCTACCATTTGATTTTTATGGGGGGGGCGGGGGGGCTAGGATGAAATTTGAAAAAAAAGGCAGGACAGAAGTTTTGAGTAAAAAAAAGGCAGGATGAGCAACTTGGCAAAAAAAAAAGGCAGGATAACAAATCATGTATAAAAAGTCAGGATAAACTATTAAAAAAAACAGGCAGGACCGAATAAAGTGAAAAATAAAAAGGCAGGACCGAGATTACAACCAAAAAAAAATGCAGGACACTAATTTTTCATCCTAGCCCCCCATAAAAATCAAATGGTTGCTCCCTAAGTCAACCAATAACAACAGACAATATCATGGCCAAGTGAAAACAGACAGACACCATTCCACGAAACACAATACAGAAAACTAAAGATTGTACATAATGAACCCCTGCAAAAAATGTGAATTTTCTGATTGGTCAGCAGCTCATTAATTGTCTCCAATCAAAAATACTATTTACTAACAAGTGGAAAAAAGATTTACTGATCAATGGTCGACATGTTAAATGCGTTTGATATCTTTGTTATTCTAGAATTTATTTTTTTCTTTCAGATTTGTAGATAAGTATTTTGAATTAAAGAAATCTGGAAGAGTAAGTGATGATGATTTATTTAGACAAGCAGCTAGTTTCATGAGAGCCCAAGGTTTTAAACTAGAGTCAGAGGTTGAAAAGAAAGAACAGAAAGAATTAGTAAGCATACTACACTCCACCCTACTACTTATATAGTAGTGATACCACCATTATTTTCCGTATTAGTCTTTGTTAAATTGGCACTTTTCAAAAAATTATGCAGAATTTATCTTTGTTTCAAATATAGAAATACTTGGCTTGAATAAAGTTTAATCCTGTCCAATACTACAGTCAAAATTTCACATAACATTTCATTGCATATAAGATAATAATCATCACTGGAAGTTAACCAATCAAATCGTCACCCCTTTTTTTCCTGTTTACAAGCTTTAGTAACAATGTCACCTCCAGTTTCAAAAATATTTCCAAGAAACACCAAATCAAAAAAGAATGGTGCTTTGAATCACCAAAGGTATGTGTTCATGACTAAATTTTTATACGCCCGTTTACGGGACATATTATGGTATACAGTTGTCCGTCTGTCCGTCGCCAAAATGTCGGACATTAACTCAAAAATGCTTTACCCAATTTGCATAAAACTTTGATGAATTGTTTATATCTATTGACGTGAGCTCCCTTTCGTTTTTTATAAAATTTAGATTTTACGTTTCCGAGTTATGGGGTTTTATTCATTAAAAAGAGGGGGGTTTTCCAGTTTTCTGACAATAAGTCAAGAATGCTTTCACCAACTTGCAAGAAATTGTGGTGAATTGTTTATATTTATTGACATGAGCTCCCTTTTGATTTTTATAAATTTAAGATTTTTCGTTTCCAAGTTACAGGGTTTTATTCATAAAAAAAGGGGGGATTTTCCAGTTTTCTGACAAAAACATTCAGCAATTCTTATGAAACTTTGGTGAATTGTTTGTATGTATTGATGTAAGCTCCCTTTAGAATTTTATAAATTTTACATTTTGCATTTCTAGGTTATGGGTTTTTTTTCATTAAAAAAAGGGGTGATTTTCCAGTTTTCAGACAATAACTCAAAAATGCTGTCACCAATTCTCATGAAACTTTGGTGAATTGTTTATATCTATTGATGTAAGCTCCCTTTTTATTTTCATAAATTTCTAATATGACATTGAGAATAAATTGAACTTTATTTGTTTATAGTCTGACAACAGATTTACTAAGTATTGCACAACAACAAGAAATCTTTAATTGAATATAAATTCAATTCATATAACCAATTTCAAGTTCTTTGACTACATTTATTCAGAAACCTATAATATGTCAAATATTTAATTACAATCCAAATTCAGACCTGAATCAAGCTTGAATATTGTGTCCATTTTTGCCCCAACTATTCATGGTTGGACCTCTGCGGGCGTATCTAGCTGCGCTCAGCGAAGCAGTTTATTGTTTTTTCCTGCAATGAAATGCAGGGTTAATTTCCTACAACTGTCAAATTCAAGGGAATATTTTTTTTCGACCCTTTTTCGTATAAAACCGGATGTGAGTCCCAGTCTTCGCACTCAACTACAGGCCAACCAGCCTAGGCTTGTAAAAATGCTGTCAGGCCTGTAAAAATAATCTATACAAGCCAATAGAATCTAACTAAAATTTTCGCAAAATTCAGCCTCTGGCCTGTAGACTTTAAAGTTTATCGTGAAAACTGTGTGACGTACCATGTTTTGGTGGTATTACATCTATATTTCTTTTATCTTTTTTTTCATAGTTCAAGTATAATTCTGTAGAAGTTACATTTTTTAAATTTTTTACGATAGTTTATATAGGAATCTCTTAATTTTTTTCTTTTCTTTGAGGAATGTTGTACAAATGCAAAACATAGAGGTGAGCTGCGTCAGATAGAAATCGACCTTATGCAAATGTATATCAATACATCTGTTGACTTATTTCAGGTTGAAAAAATCTCTTTACAAAGTCTTTAACTGTTTGAAAATTGAGTTGAAATAAGAACCCTACAAACCAGACCAACATTCATCTTTTATTTCGTATTTGAATGTCCTAAAATAAACCAAAGTCTTATACTTGTACATGATTACATGCTCTTGCATAAGGTCGATTTCTATTTGACACAGCTCAGGTTAAAGCTTAGATTTGTTGATTTCGGTCTTCAAGGTTATTTAAGACACAGGAAATATACGCTTGAATTATCATCATGTTTATTATACTACTTACACATTATGCAACAAACTGTACTAATAGGAGTTGTAAATCGTAAGTTATTTTACTACCACTGGGTTGGAATCTTACACTAATACTGTGGATTCATTTATTTTCGTAGGTACCAATTTTCGTGGATTAAGGAAAACTTGCATGTCCTTGGATATATAATTTCGTGGTTTTGCTGAAGTCTGCGTACAATCCTATAGAAAATATGTCATTCGTTAAACGGTCAGTCCTTGGAACTACCATCCATCTATAAGCTAATGTTATGGTCTGGCAAGATTGTAATGATACTTTTTATGCCTCCTACAATAGAATGGGGCATTATGTTTTCTGATCTGTGTGTCCATCACTCTGTTAGTCTGTCTGTTCTCCAAAAAATGAAAACAACATGTTATTAATTGCATGCGTCTGAAGCGCTTTTCTGGATTTACCTTCATCAGGAACGCTCACAGCGGAATATTTGAAAGCCAAGGATGTATAAGAACCGAAACAATTGAAGAGCTATATAACCAAAAAGGACCTAAAAAATAGCCAAATCCATCTAAGGTCAACTTTGCCTGAGGGAGTTTAAACCTTAGTTTCTTTATAATTTCAAAATTTATAAATGGACAAATTTCTTCTTTGTTTGATAATATGCTCTTACAATTTACCCATTTTAGACAAAACCTTTTTATGACATCACTTTTAAGAAATTGTGTCATTAAGGCTTTGCTGATATTTTGTGAAATCCTTTCTTCTGAAGCTTAAAATATGTGATATGTAATGATATCAAGCAATATTTTATTTTTGGTGAATTTACAGGGACAAATAAGCTCCAACATGTACCTTGTCCTACAGTGCATGTGTTCATAAAGATTTGTTCCAAATAAGGATTTGAATGCTGATTTTACTGTTCACTAAATATGAAAATATGATGTTGTAAGTGGGGCATGGTACACATATACTTGTTAATTTTAAGTTGTCATCTGAATAAAAGGGAATAAGGGTATCCATTAATAAGGCATCATGAACATGACAATAATTGGAGGCTCGCTTTAATCTAATCTTCGGATGAGAAATACAAAAAAAACTGCTTTGATATCTTTGTACACAAAAAATTTTTCTGAAAAAATATATTTATCAGCTTCACTTTATAACGAAATTTGAGTTTTATATCCATTGTGGTTATTTGTAAAGATATCAAATTTGGATGATTACTCTAATTATAAAATTTTTTTTTTTTAGCATAATATGGCTCAAGAGATGTTTCCTAGTTAATCGTGTGTGTGTTTGTGTTTGTGCTAAGACTTAAGAAGCGAACTCATAGAAATAAGATATGGATAGAATAAAAAATGACACATGCTGTCCAAATGCAGATGGGAAGAGTGTTCAGAGTGTCAATAAAATGCTATTAAATTTATATATTTATTCATATCTCTTGGATTTTGATAAAAGTTGTGATATCTAAATGAGAGTCCAAAGTCCAGTATGGCCACTCTCAATAATCCATGTTCAGAAGGAGCACACTAAATAAAAAAAGATTTCTATTGCCTTTAACAGGGGCATTGGAACATGAACTTGAGGATAGAAAAAAAGAAGAAATGTTATGAATAGTAAAATACAATGTATGCCCATCATTTTTGGTTTTTGCCATGACATTGTCAGTTTTTTTCCCTTGTCATTGTCAGTTTTCCTTCGACTTGTGAGTTTTGAATGTCCCCTTGGTATCCTCCACCTCTTTTTTGACACAAACTTCAAAATATACAGTTCTAAGAGAATCCATCAAAACAATGGCTCAAAACCAAAAACCACAAAAACACCAACAACAGTCTACAAAATACTCAGTAGAAAACCAACGACTGAGCAACAGGAACCCAACCAAAAAGGGGGGTAAACTCAGGTGCTCCTGAAGAGTAATCAGATCCTGTTTCACATATGGCACCTGTTGTGTAGCTCATGGTAAGTACTAATCAGAGATAAAGTTGACAGTCTCTTTTTAGGATTTTTTATTTGGTGATTAGTCTCATTCTGTGATGTCAAGATTGAGGAAAAGAGGACAGGATTGTGACATATAATTAGATTATATATCTGTTTGTTTGTGACATAGATATTCCATAACAGTTTTCCAAGTCGTGATGGCGTCCGTTCAACTTTTGAAGGGATGACTTCAACTTTACCGCTTGATACCCATGGCTCAAAGGTTCCTTATCAGCAGCAATCCTCTATTAAGGAAATTATGATAGGTAATGCAAGCTTTGGGAATGCCAGATCAACTTGTTTATGTACTTCATACAATAAATGAACTAATTAGCTAAAATAACATGTTTTGGGATCTTGGCCAAATCTTTATTTTTTTTTATCTTTCACTGAACAAACAACAACTTATTGCCAGATATGATTGAGATGGGCATTTTAAAGATCACAATTAATCTAATTTATTTTTTAAAGCTTGCACTAAGTAAAATAACAAATGTACCGAACTCCAAGGAAAATTCAAATGTACCTTATCAAATGGCAAAAACACATCAAACAAATGGAAAACAACTTCCATATTCATGACTTGGTACAGGCATTTCCTTTTGTAGACTTTAAAATAAAATTGAGAATGGAAATGGGGAATGTGTCAAAGAGACAACAACCCGACCACAGAACAGACAACAGCAGAAGGCCACCAACAGGTCTTCAATGCAGCGAGAAATTCCCGCACCCAGAGGCGTCCTTCAGCTGGTCCCTAAACAAATATATATACTAGTTCAGTGATAATGAATGCCATACTAAACTCCAAATTGTACACAAAAGACTTGAAACTTTATCTATGATTAAAACTGTGCTCAATACAGAGGTTGATTCAGAAGAAAAGAAGACTGGTCAATAGTGGAACAAATTTTATGAAATTGCAGTCTCCCTCTCGGTCTCAAAATACTGGTACACAGAGGTGGATTTACAATTCTTTAGCTGGGTTATACAAAGTGCAAATCCTGCTTATAATATGGATTTTGTGTAATCAACTGCAGTTTTCAATTTGTAACCTTCTAGGATGTTTTGTTTTATACACATTGAAGATGTGAACCTCAATATATATACACATTTGGAGCATTTTTGTAGATTTTCCAGGTCAGTTGTCAGTAGGATTCTTCAAGAGGGGCTAATTTTGTGTAGTCAATTACTCGTGCAGATTTTTTGAAAAATTTGAACTAGTGGTCATTTAATGTATTTAAAAAAAATGCTTATCCTTCAAAGGAACTGCATAAAATGCAACTGTTTGTAGTAGTACTATAGCAAGGATTTTTGTCTCACCTGGGACGAAAGTTGTAGAATGCGAGAATGTGGCTGGGGCATAAACTTTGTATAAAGTTTTATATTTCAGGAAGTAGAAAACCTGGACTCTTCATACCTATATACAGAGTCCTTATGTCATAAAGTTTCCTTCTGTATCCATTGCCCTTCATTTTCATGGTTCAGCGACTGCTTGAAAAATGTATTTTTGTTGTCATATGAATTTCTCACTCATTATGAGTAATAGGATATCTGTATTTAATATATGGTTCCCTGCATTGTGTTCTTGTCGGTCAGACAGGTCCCTCTGACCTCGATCTAATTTCTTGGATCATTGATCAAGGTTAACGTTACATGATTAGGCCTGTTTCTCAATGATTACACTGATTGTGTATGCAATGATTATAAGGTGTACATGTCAGTCTGGTAGGTTTCAACTGACCTTTACCTCATTTTCATGGTTCATTGGTTAATGTTATTTTTTGTATTTTGGTCTGTTTTGAATATTATAAGCAATAGGTAAACTATATTTAATAGTGTATTGAATGATTGTAAGATATACAGGTCTGTCAGGTATGACCTGTCCTTTACCTCATTGTCATAGTTTATTGGTCAATGTTAAGTTTCCGTAGTTTGAGGGAAGTACCAGCCCAGTAGTAAGCACTCCAGTGTTGACATAGTGTTAAGTTTCCGAAGTTTGAGGGTATCACCAGCCCAGTTTTCAGCACTTCAGTGTTGACATGATGTTAAGTTTCCGTGGTTTGAGCGTATCACCAGCCCAGTAGTTAGCTCTTCAGTGTTGACATGATGTTAAGTTTCCGTGGTTTGAGCGTATCACCAGCCCAGTAGTTAGCTCTTCAGTGTTGACATGATGTTAAGTTTCCGTGGTTTGAGCGTATCACCAGCCCAGTAGTTAGCTCTTCAGTGTTGACATGATGTTAAGTTTCCGTAGTTTGAGGGTATCATCAGCCCAGTAGTTAGCTCTTCAGTGTTGACATGATGTTAAGTTTCCGTGGTTTGAGCGTATCACCAGCCCAGTAGTTAGCTCTTCAGTGTTGACATGATGTTAAGTTTCCGTAGTTTGAGGGTATCATCAGCCCAGTAGTTAGCTCTTCAGTGTTGACATGATGTTAAGTTTCCGTAGTTTGAGGGTATCATCAGCCCAGTAGTTAGCTCTTCAGTGTTGACATGATGTTAAGTTTCCGTAGTTTGAGGGTATCACCAGCCCAGTAGTTAGCTCTTCAGTGTTGACATGATGTTAAGTTTCCGTAGTTTGAGGGTATCACCAGCCCAGTAGTCAGCATTTCAGTGTTGACATGATGTTAAGTTTCCGTTGTTTTAGGGTATCATTGATATGATCATGACTATAAATTATCTGTTTACAAAACTTCTATTTTTTTCGAAATACTAAGGATTTTCTACCACAGGAGAACATTACCTTAGCTTTATTTGGCAAAACCTTTCGAAATTTTGGATCCTCAATGGTCTTCAACTTCGTACTTTATTTTTGGCCTTTTTAACTTTCTTTATTCAAGCGTCTCTGATGAGTCTTTTGTAGTCGAAATACACGTCTGGTGTTCAAATTTTGAGTTTATTTGGTCCTCATTCAGATGATATCAACAATATTGGCCAACTGTAGTGGGTATATGGAATGACTGTAAAGTGTACATGTCTGTCTGGCATGTATCATGTCACCTTGACCTAATGTTTTATAGTTCATTGGTCAATGTTCAATTTTCATGGCTACTGTTTCTTGGATACTACAAGCACTAGGTCAGCTATATTTGGTGTATTGAATGATTGTAAGGTGCACATGTTTGGCTTACAGGGTTTATCTGACCGTGACCTCAAACTTATCTTTAAGACCAATAATGGTCACTAAAGCAGGCGAGACATTTCAACAAGTGTATTTGTAACAGCCACTATGTTCCGTCAGTTACTTTGTTCCGGCGGAACTTTTCAACTAGTTATTTCGTTCCGATGGAACTTTCCAACTAGTTGTTTTATTCCGAGTGCAGTCGAAAAGTTCCGGAAAAAAGTAGCTAGTTGAAAAGTCCCGGAACAATGTAGCTAGTTGAATAGTTCTGGCGGAACAGAACAACTAGTTACATCGTTCCGAATATACCGTATTTCGTCCTTTTTGTAGGAAGAGGGGGAAGAATGAGTATCAGTATATATAAGAGCAAATCATTAATTTACAAGAATACCCAACGCACTGAAAGGGGTTTCTTTGGGGACAAATATGCAAAAGTTAAGTTGTATTTCATAGCTCACATAAAACGGAATAAGTCCTTCCTCATGTGGTTCTTTGCATCAATTCTCCAAATGGAACTTTGTGACTGGTTGATAAGTTCCGTTGGAACTTTTGGGCTAGTTTGTTAGTTCCGGTTTTGACTTATTTGCCAAAGAGGAACTTTGTGGCTAGTTGATAAGTTCCTTTTGACTTTTGTAATCAGTATTTTGGTTTCCCTTTAAAAGGTTCAAATATAATATGTTGCGCTTTTACTTTGCATCAATTCTCCAAATGGAACTTTCTGCCTAGTTGATAAGTTCCGTTGGAACTTTTGGGCTAGTTTGTTAGTTCCGGTTTTGACTAATTTGGCAAAAAGGAACTTTCTAACTAGTTGATATGTTCCGTTGGAACTTTTCAACTAGTCACTTTGTTCCGGTGGAATTTTTAAACCAGAGGAAGAACAAAGTAACTAGTTAATAAGTTCCTCCGGAACTTTTCGGCTAGTAAGTTCTTTCCGCCCGGAACTTTCCAACGTCGGAACAAAAGAGCATTTACATATTCTTGTTTCCTAACAATTTTTTAATATGATTTGACATTTTTCAAACTACTTTTTCCACCAGTGATTCGATCCTTTTGATTAACACAGAGCTTTCAATCTTTTTATATTATGTGTATATTAATTGAAGAGGTACACCTCATTTTGTGTACACGTTTGGAGAATTGTATATGTGCTTTGCTCTATTGTATCTCCTGAAAGACCAGTTTCTTTTGGTTTTCAAATTTGTAGAAATCAGTATTACCTCTGATTGTCTAACATGATTCTAGGAGCATAGCAAATACTAGATCAGTTATCATTTATTGGTATAATAATTTAAATATGCCGTTATAAACTAAAACCAAAAAAAGGGGTT